GAGCGACCCCAAACTGAGAAAAATATCAAAAACGTCATTTGTAGAAATCGTTGCAAAGAGTTTTGACTTCAAAGTTGGACTGAAAAAATCTGTTTTTTTGCTATTTTCCGACTTCAAACAGCCATAAAATTGCAGGAACAGCACCAAAAGACTTGAAATTTGGCATAGAAGTCAGGTTTTATGTCCTCTACAAGAAAAAATTCACTTGAGAACGTAATTCGGAAAAGTCCCAAAATCAAAGTGAAAGTCCCTTTTTTTTCAATTTTGCCCCATAGAGCTAGAGTCATTTATATGATTCATTATAGTTTAATTAATAATACTAATTATTAATTATACTATAAATTGGAGAAGCTGAAGATTTTCTGGGAGGATTAAAAAATTGACAAGTAATTTTTTGATGAATATCAGTAAGTGAAAATTTGAATTTTCAAAACAACCGTTAAGCACAAGTCCGTTACGAATTAATGCAAAATAACTATCAATATGCGATGTGCATTTAGCACACATAGCTTGAGCATAAATTTATGCTGTTTTTAATGTATTACATTGTTTATAACACTTCAACAATTTAATTAAATTGACTTTTCTATTTATTAACGGCTTAACGTAATTTTGCATAACATATGAATGACATTCATTGAATTTAAATTTGAAAAATCCGTTATAAATACGTTACATATAGATGTGATTTGCATCTTTATTTTAAGAATTCACACGTTATGTGGTAGGAACGGTACAGATAAACACAAAATCTGGAAGATTCATTTTTAATGTACTTTACTAATGAATTTTTAAAAAACACAGAAAGCGCACATAATTGAAGTTCAGGACATTTTTTAAAGAGTTTTATGTGTTTCCAGGTATGACTTAAATTATATAAAACGAATGAAAATTTTTGACAGTCGTTACTAATTACTAGGGTGACCATCTGCGTAGTTTTACAACGGATAGTCCTGTATTTCAAAACCCTGTGCTGTATAAATTGGAAAATTTTGTTCCAGGTCCTGTATTTGTTTCATGAAAATTTCCGTTAATTTTCAAATTTTCCTTTGTGTCCTGTATTTTTAAGGAAATTTATCAAATGTCCTGTATTTTCATAAAAACTATATGGTCACCTTAGTAATTACCCGTTAAAAACTGGGAATCTATAAACAGTTGAACGAAATGAATTGAACTTGAATTTGAGTTGTTGTGGTTGAAATTCGATTAAAAGATTGAGACTAAAAAGTTGCAAATAAAAAAACGTTAAAAATAACTTTTTAAAAATACGCTTTTATCAAAAAGACTAAAAACCAAAAGGATGAAAATAAAATAAGATCACACTTTTAACGAATCAGGATTTTAAAATTTTCTTGTGACAATTAGAAATTTAACATAAATTTTTTTCAAAATATTGTGATTATTATGTTATTATATGCGTGTACGCACATTATTTTCTTAATCTTATCATCTCATCTAAACAATCGATCATTTATAACTTGAAAACACAGTATTCCCTTACGATGCTATATATTTTGTTTGCTTTTATAAATATGCACATATGTATCTATGTTTAACTTAAGTTTTATCTGCCCGTGAGGGCTAATAAATATATTCAATTCAATATTCAATTATTAATCAGACATTTTGAACAACTTTGGTTAAAATAAATTAATTATTATGAAAAAAAGAATAAAATTTCTTCAAGGCAATGTCCAAGGATGAACATAAGCTAAGAATGCTGGATCCAGGTATAAATACATGCAGCTCATAACTTCAGGAAATTATAAATTCTTCCTAACACTCTCACTGTGTGATTTTAAGTCCAAATAAATTAATTCTCAGACGTAATTCCCACTTTCTTTAGCCTCGTTTTCTCGTAAACCTTAAAACATTATGAACAAGTATATAGATCTGAATTTTGTCGCTATTATGTCGAGTATTTTGAGTTAAATTTTTTTTGTTTGTTCAGTGATCCCAGGAGCAAAATTCTAGTATGGGGCTGTTCACTTATTACGTAACGCGAAAAAATGACTTTTTAGAGCCCCCCCCCACCTCGTAGCAAAATTTGTATGAAAAAAAAATTTCCTTGTTTGAACCGTAACAAAATCTTAGACCCCCCTCCCCCCCTAAAAGCGTTACGTAATAAGTGAATGGCCCCTATTCGAATTTATAAAAAGTCACATTTCGATTATTCTACACAATGTAATACAAAAATATCAAATTTATGCGTGAATTATGTCAGAATAATACCAAAAAAATTTTTTTATCAAAGTACATCACAGAAAATTATTTTTTTAAAATTTATTGAAATTTTGCATGAACACCCTAATACTTATTAACATTTCTACATACAGTTAAAAAAAATTAAAAATTGTAGGGTTTCCAGAATTTCCGTTTTCGGGACACCTCAATGAATTCGGGATATCAATTTTGTTTAAATCACACAGTTTAATTTACTTTAAAGTTCGATAAATAAAAGGATTTCTTTCAACAATTTTTATTCTAGCATTTATCATGATTGCAATTTTGAACAAACAGTAATTCAGATATTGCACATTTAACCAACTGACACTTTTTACTTAATGTAGACAATCATTTTACAATCTGATAGTGCGGTGATTCTCAACCTAATCAGAAATTGAACTTTTTTTAAGTATTTAGTGGATCTTAATAATAAAAATTTTGAAAAAAATAAAGAGTTCATTTCGGAATTGAACATTTAAGTAGCAGGGATGTATAATAATTAATTCATAAAAATGCAGGACACAAAATATTATTTAAAAAATTAACGGAAATTTAAAAAAAAAATAAAGATCCAGAACAAATACAGACAGCGTCCGTTGAAATAATACGCAGATGGTCACCCTCTTTATGACAATTTATGTTGAATATATCACAATAAAGTATCACTTAATTCACAGTTTTGTTGTTTTATGGTTTCTGAAATTGAAATAAATTCAACACATTCAATTTGTCAGAGTTCTGATTGCTGTTCTTTGCTGCACATTCACACAAATCTATAAACAATATTCAGTTAAAAGTTGGTGCTATAAATACGGTTTATATTGCAAAGTATTATCAAATTTATCTTTGATTGCATTTAAACATTAATTTTTGTCAAAATTGTTTCTAAATCGCAATTGACATTGAGTGTCAAGTATTAAAAATTGACTGCAAAAAATGTCACAGATTATAAAATTAAGTTCATTTTTGAAGCCACTTGAAGTTCTTAATTTACAATTTTTTTCACTATCTAAATTAAATTGTCCGTCTAGTTTTTCAAAGCAAATTCGAATGATTTACTTTATTTGTTACATAGTAATGACTATAATGTCAACATTGCACTTGTATCCAGCTTGGTATGCATCAACAAAGATTAGAATGTCTGGTGAAAATTTGTTGTTATTTTCTCTTGAAGTTCTCATGAGTATACTCGCACCCGTCCAAGCACAAGTGGCATACCAACAAGCTTTATTAAAAACTAAGAGTAACCAAAGCTTTTTCAAACATCTTATAGAGTTTGATCGATATTTAAAATGGAATATGCGATCTGGAATTTCATTTAAGAATTTTAGAAAAATCCTAATTCGACGATTGATTCTTATTAGCTTAATAAGTTTTGTTGCCATTCAAAAAACCATGTACATTGTCATAAAATTAGAAAATTCAAAGGTTTTAGCAACCTTTATTCGTTTTTTGTACATGATGACAGTTTGGTTTACTTTATATAAAATTTGCTTCTACGTCGACATCATTTGCATTTGTTTGATAAAGTTTCATCACATTTTGGATCAAATTGTCTCATTCAGTCACAATCGGAAGTTATTGTTGAGGAAAATTTACCAGTGCAAGAGGTGTTACATTTATATCATAGAGATTGTAGAGGAGCTGAATTATTTCATGTCGGTAACAATCAATTTTGTAGCAGTGACAGGAATATTATGGATATCATTAAGATCTTATCAGTTGCTGCAATTTGCTTTTGATAAACGTGGTTCTGCTTTTGGTAAGAATAATATACTATGTGACAAGGGAATGACAATAGCTTTAGAACGTTAAAGCTAAGTTAGCGTTTAATGATTACAACTATTAACCTTGGTTACAGTCTTGTCCCCAAATAACATTAATTTTGTTTATTTAACAGACATTTTGATCGGATTCTTATTTGCTATTCTCATAATGACATTGCTTGTTATTTGTTGTCAAAATGTGGAAATTATTGTAAGCTAATTGCTCAAAAAAAAATCAAATTAATTTTCCAAATCTTAACAAATGCTTCAAATTGCATTCCAGATGAAAAAAATTGTTCTAAAGCTTAATAAAATTGACGAGAAAGTTTTAGGTAATTCTGAATGTCTTAATGCTCTGAATTCACTCTATGAACAAGTTACAAACCAGCCAATCGAAATAAGCACATCATGTGAGAGCAAAATATGCAAACAATTTTTCGCTAAGGTAAGTTGATCTAAGAACTTATTATATTTGTGCTGCCAAGAGCTGATATTTTTAAAAACTAAAATTATTTCCATTTATTTTAAGTCGTCCAGTCAGCTGGATTTGAATTTGATTTCTGATATTTTAAATCAATATTTATGTCACTTTAATATTTAGATTAAATTTTTTTCCAGATGCTCTTATCGACTCTATCAAATGTCTTTATATTGATTCAGTTCCAGCATGAATTGTGAATTACTTAAACTTAGATTCTATCATCGATCAGGCACTGCGGCTTTCAGCTCGTCGCAAGTGTAGTAACGCACCGCTTGGCTGGAACCCACACATATTAAACATACATTTTGCTTTTTCTCAGCATATTTAAAATAAAATCTTGATCATAAACTACTGATTTGCACAAGAATTGTGTTTCTGAAAAGAATGTCTGACTTTAGTTTTAATAAATGTGATAACACTTAACAATAAAATAAATAAATATTTATATATCATGTCTCTGATTATCTCACGTAATAATTTCTTATCAATTTCTACTGTGTTGTAATATTTTCATCAGTAGAATACCAGACAGTAGCTCAAGTGGATTAAATAATTTAATTATTATGAAGAAAAGAGTAATACTTCTTGAAGGCAATGTCAAAGGCATTAAGGCTCGAACGGTTTTGTGGTATTTGGCATTCTTTGGATTTGCAATTAACACAATCGTTAGAATTAATTCAAGTATTGCAATTGTTGACATGATTGATGTTAACCTCAAGAAATCTACAAATGTAAATAAGACAGTTGCTGTGTCGGAGTGTTTAGCAAAAGATGATAAAGGTGCACAAAATGGTACAATCAGCATTATTTCAAATATTAAGCTAGTAAACACCACAAGATATGTGTCAATGGAGCGAAAAATTTTAGATTATTTTGAGGCTAGTCAACAAAAATACTCAACAAGTCCAAGATTTTAAAATTTTCCCTTTTTTAGATCGAATATGAACGCGATGGATTCAAATGGAATGAACATAAGCAAGGAATGTATTTGGGATCATTTTACTGGCTTCATTGGATGTCACAAATCCCAGGTGGAATATTAGCAACAAAATTCGGAACTAAAACAATTTTTGGGCTTGCAAACTTCATTCCATGTGCATTGTGCTTACTTACACCGATTGTCAGCTATTTAGACTATAAAGTGCTTGTTATTTTGAGGATTACTTCTGGTGTATGCACTGGTAATCACTGACTTAGACACAAGAAACTTCAAGTTTAATCCATAAATTATTGAATTTCGTTCAAGGTCTGTCTTGGCCAGCAATGCATCATCTTATTGGACTTTGGATACCTGGAAATGAAAGAAGTCGGTTTGTGACTGTCTATTTGGGAACTGGAATAGGTAAGGAAGGATTTGATGGCTTGGTACAGAAAATGTAACATCAACAATGTTTAATTCGTTTTGGTTGTCTTATTCTTAACTCGATCAGTTAAACGTGGTTAAACCTAAATTCAGTCAGATTTTATTTTTACTTACACAAATTATCTAATTCGCTTAATATAACCAAGTTCTCAACACTACCTTTTAGGAGCTGCCATAGCATTTCCAATATTTGGCTACATCATCAAAATCTCATCATGGGAATGGGTTTTTCACTTCTGTTTTATAGTTGGAACTATTTGGTATATTTTCTGGATGTTTCTCGTTTTTGACAGTCCAGAAGTTCATCCAAGAATTGATCCAGCTGAAAAAGAGTATATCATTAAGTCATTAGGTTCATCAGTTTTTCGAGAAAAGGACAAACACGAAAGGAGAGAAATTCCATGGAAAGCGATTTTAACATCAAGATGTACTTGGGTGACTGTTTTGGCAGATCTTGGGAATGTTTGGGGACTCTTTACAATATTGACACAAAGCCCAACATATTTCCGATTCATTCATGGATGGAGTATTGAGATGGTTGGAATTTTGTCTGGATTTCCTCATTTGATGAGAGTTTTGGCATCGTTTGTGTTTTCGTCGATTGGAGATTATTTGTTGACTGGGGATAGAATGTCTCGTGAACACGTTAGGAAGCTAGCAACCTTGTTCCGTAAGTTTTAAGTTAATTTTAACATTTACCTTGCCTAGGCTGCTAGCTTTAGAATGTTAACATTTATTTTCTTCTAAAATTTTTAGATTTAGTCTTAAGTGGAGCAGTTTGTCTAGGTATTGCATACTCTGGATGCAATTTTACACTCGCTGTGGCGTCATTGACACTTTCGCTGGCACTTAATGGTGCCATATCTGCCGGCTTACTATCAGGAATAATTGATAACAGTCCTAATTATTCTGGAGTCATATTGGGTGCTGTAGGAACAATATCGATCAATTCAGCACTAGTTTCTCCTATGGTAAGTATCGTTTGTTTATATATCTGGACATTTTATTATGTTTAGGTACATAATTTATTGTATCGTGGAAATTGAAACCTTTTGAGGAGAGGCTTAGAAGATTTTTATAATGAGCTTTAAAAGCTAGTTCTACTCAGAGCTCGAAGTTGACTCGAGACAGAGTCAACTCTATACAAAATTTCATTGACTTTGAGCTTTGGTTCTACTACCTTTAGTTAAAATATTTAAACATTGTAATTTTAGGGTTTCTTTAGATTATGTTGAAATTGTTTTAACAAAATGTTTACTTATGGGGCATTTTAGGTCGTAGGTTATTTAACATTTGAGAACCAAACTGTTAAAGCATGGGAACATATTTTTGTGATTACATCCGTGATTATGATGATTACCGGACTTATTTACATTGTATTTTATGACGGATCTCTTCAGCCATGGAACAATCCTGGTGCATGCAAATCTGAGGACAAAAACATTAGGAAAAAACTTTTGGAATTCAACGAAAAGTTCAAAATTCCTCAGCAATCTTCAAATGATCTATAATTTTCAGATCAGAATTTTATTTTTATTATAGTTTATATAATTTAACATTAATAAAATGAATATTTTATAGTAAAAATTTAGAGCATTTTTTCTCTTGGATGTTTCTAGTCTAAGCACTTCATTAGCTAGTAATCATCAAATTTTAAAACTTTTAATCATCGACCTCTTGAAATTGAACAAGAATGTGATCATTAATCACATCATTAATCATTGATCACATAAGAAAGGTTGGAAAACAGAACTTGGAAATCATTTTTAAGAATTTAATAAAACTAAAATAAACTCAATGCATGGACATTTAAATTAATTAATAAGCTCAAGTTTACAGCTATAGCAAAAGTTCCGTTGAACTTTAAAGATATTTTTTTTTTTTCATTTTAATTGCACTTTATTGCATTTATTGACGACATACTTTCCGGTATAATTAACTGTTATCCTCATAATTATGATCGATTAAATTGCAGCAAGAGAATAATATTGGCAAATATTGAAAGCAGTATCTGAAATAATTTTCAACAATTTATAATTAAAACGGTTTAATCAAAGTCATCCAGACAACATACTTACATTAGTAAGATACACTTTGTTAATTTTTGATCCACTAAATGTCTGAATATCAATTGGCGATAAGGTGATTTGGACACAAAGTGATTGTAATGCTTCCTGACTTTCTTTGTTTAAAATGTCGATTTTGTTAAGTTTTTGATGAATTTTGTGTTCCTTTTAAATTAAAAATTCAAATAAAATTTTTTTCTCAAGTGGAAAGAGTTCCAAAAGTTTGTAAAGAAAACTCACCAAATTTTCAATGTTTTGCCCACAGGCACTCATAATCATGAACATTACATTAATAACCAATATAACATGAAAATTTTCTACAAAATATAAAAATTCATTGGTTTAAAAACGAGCAAGTTAATGTTTTTTTTTTCTTATTTTACCTAAATAGCTTGAAACATCTGTAAAATTTAACTGTAGAAGGTAATAAAGTCGCAATGAAATCCATAAAAATCCAACAAGAATGTAAAGATTGAGTGTCATTGGCATGAAATAGTTGAATTCTTGAGCCATTTTGATTATGTAAATGTAGGATCTTTTAAATTGATAGATTTTCCTCAATAACAGGCTCTTATTGTGACTATAGACATCAAATTGATCCAGAATTTCATTAAATTCAGTCAAACAAATGCAAATCAAGTCAATGTAGAAGCAAATTTTGTACCAAATCAAGCACATAGTTAAGAAATGTACAATAATCAGGCAAAGTGTGCCAAACCCGAAAAATCCATGATCCTTTACAATTGTCAAGTGCGCTAGGACAAGCAATACTGCAAGTGAAGCTATCAAAACCAAACGAATTTTCAGCTTTTTCTCGAGTTTTTTTGTAGACATTCTTTTGTTAAAACTTTCACATAAAAACTTGTCAAACTTGTTAACAATTTTGAAAAAATTTTGATTTGCCTTAACCGTTAGAAATGCTTTAAGATTGGTTATAAATATTTGTCCAACAGTCAATATTGTCACAACTACTTCAATGGCATATCCGAGTGTATTTTCACTTATTGACAGCTTTTTTAAGACTTTTAAAAATGGCCCACGAAAGTAAATCATCAAAAGCACAATCGATGTTGTGTAGCAGAAAAAGTAAAGTTTATAGCCGAGCAATACGAATTTTATTGGTGAAATGAGATTAAGTTTTGATAATCCAAAATATTGAAGACCGAATATCTCCAAAAACTTCAAAAATTTGCTCAATTTTCTGATTTCTGACATTTTTATTTAAAAACTCGTTTGAACTTAGGCAAGTTTGAATAGAAAATGATGAAAAATGTACAGTAATTGAGTCAGCATGTGAAATTATCATAAATGACATGTTTTAAATTTTATACAGAGCTTACTCTATGCAATCTCCTGTAAAATTTATCATTGTCAATTCAATTGACACATAGAATAAAATTAAAGTGTTGAAAGAAATAAAATTGTTTTTTGACTCACTGAAATTGCAAAATTTATTGATTTTAAAAAAACGATAATCTAAATGCACAATATGACTTCATAAATATAAACAAAGTTGCATTCTTAAACAACTGAATAAGTTATAATAAGTACTCTTAACTGATAATAAGTCAGGGGTTTTAAAAGCGGCATATCAATTTAGATAAGCTCAATTTTTTGTATGTGTAGAATTTGTTATCTTGCCAATTGTTTCAAAATTTCTATAAATTGCATGAATATTTCATACTTAGGTTTACTAATTGTAGTGACTTTTAAGTATAAAGATATAGTAATTTATTGGCAAATATTTTAAAGATTCTGCGATTTTTTAATTTAAATAAATTCCCTGATAAATTCATTAAATTTAAGAAAAACTATTTGTAAGTCAACATAAAATTAATTATTGATAGAATTAGTTTTTAATTGAATTTTAATTTCAATAATTCTAAATGTGTTTTAATTTTTAAAATAATAAAAACGAAGGAAAAAGAAATTTGTGAATTCTGTTAATGATGATCATCATTAAGAAGCGTAAAAATAATATCAATGGCCAAAGTGATTTAAAAGCCTAAGAGCGATTGCTTTACATACCAAAGATCCTGTGCTGAGTCGACTTCTTTATACAAAAGCAATTCCAGAGTTGGCTCAGTTATGAGTCAAGTCGAATCAACTTGAGTCGACTCGAACCCTATCGACTTCGAGCTCTACCAAAGCCCTGTAGTTTCGAATTCTTTCGCACATGACCTGTTATCAAGGCGTGGAAACTATCCCAAAAATCCCATTTATCCCATATATCCCAAAAATATTCAAAATAATCCCTGAGCCTGTATGCATTAGAATTGAAATCACATCATATCCTGAAGTTACACGTCCAATACACTAAGGATACGTTGGGATATCTTTACTATCGTACATCATGCTCAGGAATTTTTTGAATATTTTTGGGATATGTGGGATAGATATGATATTTGGGATAGTTTCCACACATTGCCTTTTATCCTTTGCTAGGTGAATTTGGATAAACTAGCAATTGTATGACTGCATTAGGGTATCTTACACACACGATACTAATTGTGACTAGGTACATTGTGGTGTACATTAGGTAGGGTTACCATCTAATTTTCATGAAAATACAGGACTTTTGGTAAATTTTTTCGAAAAATACAGAACATAGAGTAAAATTCGAAAATTAACGGAAATTTTCGTGAAAAAAATACAGGACCTGGAACAAAGTTTTCAAATTTATACAGGACAGGGTTTTGAAATACAGGACTGTCCGTTGTAAAACTACGCAGATGGTCACCCTAACATTAGGTCTTTAATAACAAGTTATTGCTTACAAATTCGCTGATTTTGCATTTAAAGATATTAAAGATTTTCAATTGAATTTATCTTATTCAATGATTCATGCGTGTCAAAATGTTTTAATTTAAGACGTTGATTAGATAAGATTAAAATTGCGTTGAATTAAGGGATTATGCCAAAATGGGTTCAGAAACGCAAACGACAGAACTATTTTAAAATATCAATAGTATTCAATTTTAACTTCTAGATTCACCAAAATGGATATTAACGATAAAAGTCAACAACATACAAAGTTTAAAGATGAATATGCAGCAACATATCCAACATCATCGAATTATATCGAAATCAAGAAAAGCTGCAAAGTCATGAGATTTACTACAGAATGTGGTTTTAACAAAATCTTGTCATTTATCTCAAAAATAAATGATTTTCCAAACTTATTCATCTTTGTTATTGAAATTGAGAATATTGGACTTTATAAAGAAAATATTCAAACATTAAAAAATATTTTATTGGATATTGAACGACCGATTATAATACAAGTTATAGCAAAAATTGATAACCAAAAATTATTTTATTATAAAAAAGAAAATGATAAACAATTTTATGAAGTTAAAGTGGATCAAAATGGCGATAAAAACTTTAATACTTTCGAATCTTATCTTAATTGTTTTGCGACTGAAAATGTTGAAAAATATGAAGACAAATTCAATGAAATCCTTCTAAATACTGAAAATTCAACGTTAATTTTGAGGTTTTTGCGGACACTAGACTTATCTGATAGACTTTTTATGGATTTAATATATAATTGTGCAGAAAGTGGATCAAAAGCTGATTTTCTAGCAGCACTAGATGCACCTTTTGAAGGTGAAAGAAGATTCTTTATACCAGATGCTGATTATTACTTATGCGAGACTATAAATGACAATGAAACAACGATTTCTGTTCTCTACACAGCCATCCAAAATTCAAATGGAGACGTCGTCAATTACTTAATAACTCATTGTACTCATTTGATCGAGCTACTTCCATTTGAACATCGAATTGACATCTCTACAGCTGCTTTTAACAAAGAAAAGTTTGATGTTTTGTGTGACTTGCTAGAATACTCAGACTTCCCGTTTCCTAGAAATATTGCAAATCATCCAGTTACTCATGAGAGGCTTACTCAAATATGCAAAGAAAGAAATCAATTCCATGAAGCAATACGTAATAAAATCGAAGCAAATGTGAATTACTTCACTGATACATATTTTAATAATAAAATGGCTTATGACACAAACAACAAAACAGCATTATTCAAGGCTATAACTTCAAGGAACTTTGAAGTGTACTGTAGACTCAAATCTCTTGGGTTCAAATCAGAGTACTCCGAAAAATGCGAGGAATATGAATCAAAATTGACAGGACGAGAGAAGGAACTGCTGTCAAAACAGGAAAGAATTCAAACTAAAATTAATGCTGATTGCTCGATCTCTGACAGTAAGAAGTATATAAGTCTTTTATCAGCAAGGTCCTTAATCCATAATAGAAAGGTCAATAAATCAGAAGAAATTAAATATCGTAAGCAGATTGTAAAGTGGCTTGAAGAGCTTTCCAAGATTGAAGTTTGTAAAGCTTTCTTAGATGCTGCAGCTCAGTGCGAGGATTTGAAAATTATTTTTGACTTTGAAAGCTTGTCCGTAAGTAAACAAAACTTTCAAACCACTAGTCCTCGGACGAGTTTCTTAGTAAACAGTATACAACCCAGCAAATAGCCGATTCTATGTTTTAGCATACAATTTTTACTAAGAATATCTTGAAAGTTTGAAGTATGTTCCCTCCTGGGTAAACGTCCCCTACCCCGCTACTTGTATACTAAGCAAACCACCTTGGAACCTAGAATGTAATAACATTAAGGGTTCGTTCACTTATTACGTCCGAAATTAACGGTCATTTTTCAAATGAAGAACAATGGACTTCCCCCCTCCTTGGACGTCATAAATGAACGGCCCCTAATATTAATCACTGAAAAATAATTTTTGTTCATCTTCATTATTTAAGGTTGATAATGTTGATCTAAAAGGAAAAGGAGCTGTAGGAACTACATATGCAGCAGCAAAATACATATTCATAGCTGCCAAGTTGAAAGATAAAGATCGTGAACAGAATATCAAAGGTGTCTTAATTCACGAAATTTGTCACTATGTAATGCGATTAGTTTATGAGAATAACGAAGAACCTTATTACAAGAATGACAAGATTTCAAAGAAAAAGTTTGATCAGATTGTCAGTATGTATGATAAGTTTAGAAGTCCTGATACTAATGATATACTTGATGACAAATGTGGAGGCATAATAAGCACAGTTTACACACTATATCCTCAAATTAATTATACTGCTGAGTTGGTAGTCCGACCTGCTCAGATCTTGGCGAAATATGACGACAATGATGAACATACGAATGTTTTACAAGCTGAATATAAACCTTTATTTGACTATGTTACCGAAAATGTTTTACCTGAATTAAGAAAGTTTGACCTTCGCCATCGAAGCAGTGTTAGAAAGTTGAATAAAATTGTGGGACACCTGGATGCTATTAAGGAAGAAGCTTTTGTGTTTACTGAATCAAAAGTTTCAATTAGCAATAATTTGAATTTTGAGTCATACGTCATGACATCAAATGTACCAAAACTTCTTCTCAGTGACTTGTTCAATAGTTTTAAACTTGAATACTTGCCAGATACTAAAACTGTATTCATTAGACCTCAAGACTGTAAAAATCAATCAATTTTCGATGCATACAGTCAAATAGTATCTAATAGTAATGAAATTAGGGTCATTATTGATTGTTCCAAAGGAATGGGTCCAAAACTCGAGGATTTATTGCCTAAATTTAATCTAATCATCATTGTATCTAATGAGCATCATTCTCGAGAAGTTATGAAATTATATTCTAAGAAATTCAACAAATCAATAGATCCAAAGGTGATAAATTATAGATTTTGTGACTTAACACCAGAAAATCAGCTCTACTTACTTCAAACTGAGGTTCAATTCCAAAATGAGAAGTTGAATTTACATAACTTACTAAGCAATCAAATAACACAGGTTGATGAATGCTTCCTAGAAATTGTTGATGATAAGCTGCTTAAATTGTTAGTCGACGAATTTGAAATTCAAATAAATGTCAAATTTGAGTGTGAAAAATACTTTCAAGCTCTATACCGTTCGAGGAATTTAATAGAGCATAACAATGACAACTTAGGATCAAAACAAAAGTTTACACAAGAAGAATTTTTAAAAGCCGTTCAAGACGACAAGAGCATCATTATCTCAGATATTGGAGGGAATGGAAAGAGCTGGACATTAAAAAATATAACAATCAAATTAAGAAAACAGAAACCTTCAAAGTGGGTATCGTACATCCACTTAAGGATGTTTGAGAATATTTTTGATTCCAAAAAAACCAATTCTAACTTTTTACAATTCATGTCAGTGAACGTCCTTTCATGTAATACCTACGAACGAGCAATCTTCAAGAGATTATACAAAACTGGCAATTGTTGCATTCTGTTGGATGGTTATGATGAGCTAAATTTGACTTCTCGAGAATTTGTGAAGGAATTAATGATGTCATTTAAGAATTATGGTGGAAATCAGATTTGGGTTGCAACTAGGGACATTTTTAAAGATGAGCTACAAACTGTGCTACATACTAAAGTCGTGTACAAACCAGCTGAGTTCACAGTTGATGATGCAATAGAATTTATTAAAACAACCTGGATGTTAAGTGATATTGAAAAGGAACTAAAGATTGTACAGGAATTTGAAGTTTTAAAAATATTGAGGACTAAGGATAGTCAAATGTATCAAAGTTATGCTGAAAACTTAGTCAGTAAAATCTTCAACTCTAAATTCCTTAAAACTGGATTGCCAAATATTTGTAAAATTGCTGCAGACATTTTCAAAGATCAAGATGACAAAAGTATGGTCTACAGCTTAAATGTTGATATGATTTACGATGAGTATGTCAAAAATAAATATCATGATTGGTCAAATGGAACAAGGAGGCAAAGCAATAGCTCAACAGACAGCGAGACATTTCTTGCAATTAATCAGTATCAAGCAGTTAAGAATATCTGTCCGATGCTAACTCCGATATGTGATTTAGTGTATAAAAATGTGAAATTTCACGATGAAGATGTCATTGCGTGTGGATTGACTAGTCGAAGGAATGACAACATAATTTTTGAGCATGAAAGCTTCAATGAATATTTTTTACTGAGCTTTTTAGCAAAAGTCATCAAGAATTTTAGAGATATTTTCATTAAACTAGGATTTGAAGATATTATTAAGAACTTAATGATCCAGTTCTTTAATTCACGTAAATTTGACATTTTTCGGTCAGTTGCTGATAACGTACTTAATGATATTCATGAAGTTGATGAAGTTAAGCAGTTCTTTCTTAAATTTTTCAACATTCCTAACCAAAATGTTGACACAGTTGATTTTTTGTTTAAAATGGTGGAAGAATTTTATGCTGCACCCCAAAAAAGTCAAAATATTGTCATGTTAACACAAGTTGTCAATAACTGGTTTGGAGAGAAGAAATTTGTCAAAGAAGGCATGGAATTTTTCAATAAATTCCCAGAAATTTCAGAAGGATTCAGCTCTATTGCCAATAAATTCATCTACAAAGCCGGTAGAAAATTGTTACCGCCCGATTCGGATGCAAATACAGATTTTTATGCACTAAGCACTCTATTAAATGTTGACTCAAGAACGTTTGCAACAACATTTGATGACTTTTTGGATAGATGTTCATACAATGAGCAGACAAGGATTCTTAAGGAATGTGATAAAAATAAGAAAAATATTTTACACTTGTGTGTTGAGAAACAGAAGCAGATCAAGTTGAAATTTTTATGGAGAAAAATTGAAGGACATTTTGAGAATTTTGAGGATTTTAAAGCTATAGTCACGAAGGAGAGCCTTCCATTTAGATACAATGTTTTTCATGCTGCTGTGGTTTATAATAAAAATATTGACTTTCATGAGATTTTTTGGACACTGTCAATCGAGTCGTTTAAAGATCAAAGCGAGTTGCTGAATATTTTGCTGAAAAAGGACATAAATGGCAACAATGTAGTACATCTGATGCTACTCGAGAATAAATCTGATGTGATTGAATATTTGTTAATATTTTTGAGAGAGAACCTTCAAAATGAATTATTCAAAGACATTCTTGCATCTAAAAATGTCAACGGAAATAACTTGATACAAGTCGCAATTATCCAAAAATATGGACTGTCATATCTAGAAATATTGTGGAATATCTTTAATGATACATTTGATTCAGAATTTATGGACATACTAACGCAGACAAATGTAGAAAGGAACAATGTCTTTCAACTAGCTGCGCGATTCTCGTCAAATCCTGAAATCATTAAGTTTATGATTGAAAAACTTGATTCAAGTGACTTAATTAAGCTACTTCTTAAAAATAAGGATAGGTTCAATAGAAATATCCTTCAATCAGCAGCAAGGCAGAATGAGTCACTAAACTGTCATGAATATTTATGGGAGATTATTGAAACCCATTTCGATACCCAAGATTTAATAAAACTCATCAATAATCGTGATAATGACAACGATAATGTCCTTCATTGTGCTGTATCTAATAATATTAATGCAATAGCTGAATACACATTGAAAACAATTGAATTAATTTTAGAAGAAGATGAACTAGTCAAGTACCTGAAGCTCAGAGGACATAGACGTAAAAATCTTAAAAAATTGTCCTTGGAAAATACAAAGGATCATGAAGTTGTTGAATGGGTGGAAAATATAATAGGTTAAAACCACGAATTATTGATTTAATCTCAGAAATAAATATTAATTTAATATTTTAGGTTCAATTTACAGTAAACACCCTCAAGGAAGTCCAACGACAATTTTAACAATTTCAAGAGATAAACAGCTGAACGTCAATAATGAAAAGTTACAGGAAATATTCAATCATCCAGATGTGACGGATAGACAGATTGTTGTAATTTCTATCATTGGAGTTCCAAAAAAAGGAAAAAGCTTTATTCTCAATTATTGTTTGCGGTATTTGTATGCGCATGTAAGTAACTTGAATTTATGCTGTCCATAAGCTTTGACTGCGATAAAAAAAGAGTCGTGCTACAGGGGTGTAGCCAGTGATTTGGAGGGGGGGGGGGACACAAAAATGTTTATATGGAAAATTAAGAGGGAAGGAGGGGAATTTTATAATTGTTTCTTAAAACTCCTAGAAAAATGAAGAAGCTACTGTTAACGTCGGGAGATTTGTCCCCAAAATTCCCCCCCCCCCCCCCCTGGTTACGTGCCTGTCGTGGTACCTTGCCTAGCAAAGGCGGTCATTTGGATGCTTTTGAGAAAATTTTAACTTTGTAGCATCAATCTTAAAAGGTGACAATAAGCGGTTAAAATCTAAAATTCTTTATTTTTAGTATCCATCAATAAACCATCCTGACAAGTTTGATTCAAATCATTCTACAAATTGGATTGAAGATGATGATGAGCCTTTAGTAGGATTTACATGGAATTGTGCCAATAATTGTGACGAAAGCTCTTTAATATTATGGAATGATGTGTTCTTACCTAGAAGTAATAATGTCTCCGGAAAGATAGCAATTATGGTTATGGACACTCAAAATTGTATTGAACATGGATCCAGCATGTTCAACTTCACCGCATTATTTTCATCAAAATTAATTTTGAATTTTTCTTGCATGCCAAATGAAAATATTTGTGAATCACTGAAAGATGATGTTGAGGAAGTGATGAGAAAACTTGGAGACGAACAGGCAGAACGTAAAATATTCCAAAACTGCACTTTCCTTTTCAGGGATTGGGTTAGCCTAAAGCTTTTATTTATTCGTGGTTTAATGAAGATAAATAATTTTCAATCTTGATTTTTTTAGGAACATTTAAATAATTACAAAATTAAAAACAGAAAAAATATATTAGACAAGATTTTTACGACTGAAAACGATGAAAAGCGAGATATGAAGCGACTCAAATTGCTTATTGAAAGTTTATATGAGAATCTTAGTTATCACATGCTTTCTTATCCTGGTAAGATTTTATGTCCTCTAGTCAATATCCAACTTTAAAAGCTATAATATTAATAAAAATGTTTAATTCATTTTATAGGCAAATCAGTTCATTCAACAGTAGTTAAAAGCTCAAGTTATGATGGCAATTGGGGTGAAATGGATGTAGACTTTAGAGACGAACTTGTCAATTTCATCGAAAGTGAATTAAAATTGGATAATTTAGCACCGAAAAATATTAATGGACGGAGTTTGAGAGGATCAGAATTTTTAGAATATATCAAGTATCAACTTGAAGCTTACAAGTCAGGCAAATCTATTGATTACAATGCTTATGGTTATGAAATGCCAGAGCTTGTGTGCTGTGATAATGTTAGTAAATCTACCAAATCTAATGAAAGTATGAATTCCAATAAATTGGTTGATGACGATATTGGAAGACATGAAGAATATAGAAATATGAGGACTGAGGGTAACTCACAAAATGTGAATAAAAGACAAAATTATGAACTTTCTGAAATAACATCAAAAAGTCAAGATTCAAGTCTGATGAAATTTCCAGTCGATCAGATAATGGAATTGATTGTTGAATCGCTAGTCGAAGAGTACAAGGATTTAGTCCATAGTAAATCAGGAGCAGCTTTAGATGCATCAGATCAGTATAAGCTTCAAGAATATTGTGAAAGTATCATTGTCGAAAAATACAACGTATCAGCAAAAATAGTGAACAATGAAAATAAAATAAAATTTAAAATTCTTTTATGTGATAAAATTAAGGAATTAAATGAAAGGATGAATATGGATGTGGAATCTAACTTGAGAGACACTGAAGATAAATTGGATAAGCTGATTTAAAAATTGTGGAATTGGAAAAACTTGAAGAAAGTCAAAATAAAATGTTCAAAAATATGGAGAAAGATTTGAAAGTTTCAAAAAATCGAAATGAACAGGATCAAGTAAAAGGGAAATCCAATGTCAAGCTAGCACTTGAAAAGCAACGGCTATTTAGAATAATAGCTGAAATAAATGCACAAAAGTGTCTTCGCAAAGTAAAATAGAAATTAAAAAATTGTGACCATAAAAATTTGATTATCAATATTTATTCAAGTATTTACATACTAAATTAGAAATTAGGGTATCTAGGCAGGATGTTTGCAATAAAATTGATTTTTTAAAAAAATTCTTTAAATTTTGATGTTCTTTTATTAAATGATTGGAATCGTTACTTTCCAGCCTTCAACATTACAAAGGTTGATGCCTCTCTGCATACGGAAATATCCACGCTCACCAAAATCAGTTCCTGAAGTTAAAAAATGAGAAATAAAAATTAATCAATATTACTAGCCCGAATAGCACAAGTCGGTTAATCAATCAGAAATCCGACATCAAGCTGGTATAACCCTCGCATGGTGCTAGAATTAAATCAGAGCCAGCATACCAGCTTGGTGCCTAGTTTCTTTTTGATTAACTGACTTGAGCTATTCAGGGAGCTTCACAATTTAAAGTACATGACAAAGGATCAACTTACCCCAAGAATTCCTCATAATCCAATAATCAGTTCCATTTTCAGTTCCATATCCAGTGAGCAAGACAGCATGGGCACCTCCATATTGACCTTCAAATGATGAATAAATTCCTGATTTTAAGCTGTAGAAATTTTCATAAAGATAAAAAGACACAAAAGCAGGTCCAACATTGTACAAGTAGTTCCTGATTGTAGCTTCATCATTTGGCAGGAGATACCATCCCTTGACTTTTGTGCTTGTGATTCTCTTTCTTAACTTTGATGTACTGCATTCTTGACGTTTGTAGCCATAATAAGCATATGTTGAGGATGTGCAGCCACCTGTGGATATTGAATAAGAGTAAACTGCATCGTCCCATCCACCGCTGCATAAATCTGGAATGAATCATCCTAAATATAATACTGTTGGGTTCAAATTCTCATAAAGCTTATACCTGTACACTCCATAGCTTCCTGCTCACTCAATTTCTGACATTGACCCAATGTTTTGCAAGCAGCAGCTTCAATTGCGCCAATCGCAGCAAATGCATAGCAACTACTGCAACTACCTTGATCTTGAACAGGTCGAACGATTCCTTTATCATTCCAATTCCAGTAATCTGGTAAAGGTGTTTCTCGTCTTGTTCGAGAAGTTTTTGAAATTGGTTTGACTTTTATTCCTGGATATGGTGATATTAATTGTGAAATATAGATATTGAAAGTACAACATTATGTCTATAAACATGATATGATTCACTAATTTTTATTATTATCAAAGACTATGTCAACATTTGGAGTTTATAATCACCTAATCTATGATATTAGTAATCATAAATCGATTTTTTCTATCATAATCTATACATCCAGATTTTCAAATTATCTCAGATTCACAAATTTTCAGATTTTCATATTGTGGGATCATCTCAGATTTTCAGATCAACTTAGATTCTCAGATCATCTTGGATTCTCAGATCATCTCAGATTCTCAAATCGTCTCAGATTCTCAGATTCTCAGATCATCTCAGATTCTCAAATCGTCTCAGATTCTCAGATTCTCAGATCATCTCAGATTCTCAGATTCTCAGATCATCTCAGATTCTCAGATTCTCAGATTCTCAGATCTTCTCAGATTCTCAGATCATCTCAGATTCTCAGATTCTCAGATCATCTCAGATTCTCAGATCTTCTCAGATCATCTCAAATTCTCAGCTCTTCTCAGATCATCTCAGATTCTCAGATCTTCTCAGATCATCTCAGATTCTCAGATTCTCAGATCTTCTCAGATTCTCAGATCTTCTCAGATCATCTCAGATTCTCAGATCTTCTCAGATCTTCTCAGATCATCTCAGATTCTCAGATCTTCTCAGATCATCTCAGATTCTCAGATCTTCTCAGATCATCTCAGATTCTCAAATCTTCTCAGATTCTCTCAGATTCTCAGATCATCTTGGATTCTCAGATCATCTCAGATTCTCAAAACGTCTCAGATTCTCTGATCATCTCAGATTCTCAGATCATCTCAGATTTCGAAGTATATAATTTTTTTATATCATGACTCACCCAAAGATGCATAAGGGGACGTTTCATTCCCCTTGAATCCCAAAGTATTTTTCGTCAGCTCCTCAAAACTCAAGTAGGAAAATTTGTTCAATTCCATTTCAAATGTTTCAAATCCATTCTTGAATCTTTCATTATGTCTTTTGATCATTCGATACTTTCCAATGACATTATTCTTGACTCTATCAACTTCATTTGTTGTTTTTCCAATTCTGATTTTGAATTTATTTAAATATTCAATAAAAACTTTATCTTCCTCAGACTCCGGTACCGAAACCAAGATTATTTTATGAAAATTGTTGACGAGAATTAAAAGAAAAATCACAAATTTAAGCTTCATTTTTACAATTTTAATAGAACTTGGACCGTTCTTGTGATTTAATCGAATAATACTAAGCTAAGCCTTTATCATGTCATGACAATCTCGTATCTTCCTTTATTGCCTTTATTTTTCTTTGATAAAAAAACAATTTTTTGTAGTTTATTGACTCAACCAACGGAAATTGTTTTATAGACCGCAATTAAAGTTGCTTTTGCTAGCACAAATGCCATTGCAATTTTACCAAATTTACGTGACTTCTTCATTTTTTTTAAGTCTAGTCTCTATTTAGGAGTAGCGTGTGTTACCTTTGAATGTGCAATATTTCATCAGGTTAGCGTCCACACCATGACTTATGTCTCTATAGAAGTTCTTAGTTTGTTTCTAGCTTTATATTGACTTTAATGTTTTGATTTCCTGATAATAATTTTATCGATCTTTTTATCAATTTTGATGAATCAAACAGCTGACATTCTTAGCTTTAAAAACACAAAATTATTGTGGCTTTTCCAGTCTCAGTGTCATTACTATAGAAAGTCGAAAGCCAATGAATCATCTTAATTGTGGTTTATTGATTTTTTAACGTATTTTTGAAACTTGTTTCTAAAAGGTAGCTTAATATACACTTTGTTCGGCTGTTCGGCTGCTCGGGCGAAGAAAAACTTTTTAATTAGACATCGTAGAGAGCTCGCGTTTGTTTTATTACTGGGACGATTTCAAGTCCACTAAAATGATCCATGATTCTGCAAACATTCCTCTACTTTCGAATTTCATTCCTCGCTTAACTGCTAACTTTTATAGAAAAGTAACGCATCATTCTAACGATTTATTCTCATCTTTAGGTCAATATGATTACGATTCACTGAGTTGTAGAGTAAAACATAAATTGCCTAAACCCCAATAGTTTATTACATCTCTTTAGTTTTTAATGGTTAGTTCTTTAATATTCTCTTTTTTTGTATAAAATTTGATTTGACTTGGTCTTTTTTTCCGTAAGTTATTTTTTTTTGGACCTTTAATTCATTACGATAAGGTTTTTCTTGCTCTAATACTGCATTACATTAATTTACAACACATCAAGCACTCATTTGATTTAAAACCGACTAGGTTAATATCAATTTATTCATATTTCTTTTGTTCCGCCGCGATATCCATTGTTTAAATAAAGGATTATATATATATATATATTGTTTTATTATCTCCGTTACTATTGATTTATCGGCCCATGAATGCTTAAAAGTCTTGAAACAGTGTATTTATGCTATAATTAATAAATTTATGTTTTGTTTTCAGTGAAAACTGCCCAAAATTTATTTTACCTCTATAATTTCAACATTACCTCTATAATTTAAAATTTTTTTCCAGCCGTTGTAAAATTTGAATTTCAAAAAACCGTTAAATGATAAACCTTTTCTGTATGGAAATTCATTGTAACAAATTAATAATTAGGGTAGTGGGTCACCGACACAACGGGAACCCGCGGGTCAAAACCCACGGGAACTCACGGGTCCTCACGAGTTGAAAACCCACGGGTCTTGCGGGTCCCCGTGGGTTCTTGTGGGTTTTGACCCGCGGGTTTTTAAAAAAAAATTTTTCAAAAAACTTTGTGAGTTTTCCCGTGGGTTTGGTCTGCGGGTTCCCGTGGGTTTTCAAATATAAACTCACGGTTTTTTTGCGAGGACCCACGAGTTTTCTGTGAAAACTCACGGTTTCTCTTAAAGAAACCCACGGGTTTCTATCGTATATTTTTGAACAGTAAAAACTTTGAATAATAACAGGTTTTCAAATACCAGAGTGCAGTTTGCAGAACAAAAATTAGACACTTTTATAAATCAGTATTTTTTATCTTCAGCTTAAGGCATAAAGATATCGTAAAACAGCAAAGGCATGAAATGTACCTTTTAGACTGTAAGTCTAATTTTTCTGTAATAATTCTGTATAATTCATAATTCAGAACTAAACTTAGTCAATATGACGATCTAAAATCAATTGACAGGTTCATTTTGGATAAGTTGTAAGGTTTACAACTTTTGTAACATTTGGAATTGTGACTAAGTTTATTGCAGGGTACATCAGGTCTTATGACGTACTCGTGTCTTTGCAATGTGCAGAGCTTGCAAGTGCTTCGGATCCCACTATAAACTTCATGTCTAAAGGGTGTGGTACAATAGATTCTGTTCTAATTTGAGTTGCAGTGTCTCCAGCTGAAAGGCTGGGTCCTTCATACATTATTATTAACATTCAGAATACTTTTTATAGTCACTTTACAAGACACAGGAACTAAGATAAAAATTTCAAAAATTCACAAAAAGAAATTCTGGAACTGTAAGCTAAAAAAACGCAGATCTAGTTAATATTGAATCATGTCTAGCAAATTTGGTAGATGCACCTATGCAAAGGTGTTTCACCAGAGCATTACTGTTTTTGCCTTTGTCCAGGCAACACCTATTTATAGGCATGGCTAGTCAAAAGCAAAAAAGTGTACTTAGTCAAAGACAATACCTAGCCAAAGGCACTGCCTAGCACATTTTTTGCCTACGCAGTGAACTATCCTGTATTTTTTTTTGAAACATTGAGCCTTCCCAATCCTTGACTATCTATCGCATCGTGTATAAATGAAGAGAGTATGCCTTGAATTATCTGGTCTGCATACATCTAAACTCATTCACCACACATGCAACTTGAATAATTTAATCTTTTCACATCTACAATATTAAATATTCTCTCAATAATAATATTAATACATTCACAAGATACAATCCACATATCCAACAACACATTCAGATTTAAATGTTTACAAAAAATTCATTCAATTCAGTCACAATTTGTACTTTGTTCTGATCAGTTCTGTCGTCAATATCACTCAATTATGCCGGTTTATAAGCTTCATTACTTCAACGTCACCGGACTTGGTGAGCCAATCCGCTTCTTATTTCATTATGGTGGCATAGAATTTGAGGACATCCGTTACAACTCTGAGGACTGGCCTGAGATCAAGAAGAGTAAGTTATTTAAACAGATTGCTCATGCTTGCTCAAGAATGGAGTCTGAAACATAAAATCATTCTAAGATTAATCTTGAGTAAACCTGAAAAACAGGTTCCAAAGATATTTTCAGTTCCATTATCTAATCTATGTTTAATACTTTAAATTACCTCCCAACAGACATGCCATTTGGTCAAATGCCAGTTTTAGAAGTTGACGGCAAGAAAATTGTTCAATCAGGTGCAATTTGCAGATATTTAGGAAAACTTGTTGGACTCGCTGGAGACAATGACTTTGAGAGCATGCAGATTGAGTCTGTTTTGGATTCTTTTAACGATTTAAGATTGAGTAAGTAATAAGCTAGATTATGTTGGACCAAGGATTTTTGTGAATCTCTTACGGGGTTTGGTTACGGTTCCGTTGAGTTGTAGTCGAGACATGTTGACAGCATTAGCCAGTGTTTCTCAGACTAATCACGACACACTTAGTCACTAATTGCATGCAAGGTTAAGACACTTATTTATGGATTAGTGACCAAGCTTTGAATGTGTCGCAGAGCAAAGTTTGAGAAACACTGACCATAAAGTTAACAATTTTGAACTTTGAATTTCCAGAAATCTCAGCAGCACTTTACGAAGAAAACAAGGAAATTCAGGCTGCAAAACGCAAAACTTTAGTTGATGAAACGTTGCCTTACTATTTGGGAAAATTGGATGAAATTGCAGCTGAAAATGATGGACATTTAGCACTGAAGAAGCTGACTTGGGCTGACTTGTACATTGCAGCTTTCCAAAAGTATTTAAATTATGCAATGAAAGGAGATTTTGACAGCTTTGAGGGATATCCAAATTTACAAAAGGTTGTTTGCAATTCACTCGCTAATGAGAAGATCAAAAAATATGTTGAGTCTAGACCTGAAACAATTTGTTGAGTCATTATCGCCTGTTTTCTTGAAAAGTTGAAAATCGAATAAAATTGAATTGAAATTTGATGAAAAATTGTGATTTTTGTTATTTTTTTGTAGCTCTAAGTGTCGGTGGCGTAGCATGTGAGAGGGCAATAAAAGAAATTGCGTCTAGACCAAAACCAAGCATGGCTTCTCTTTTTGCTACGCATCTGAAAGTCATAATTGAACCAAATTCTTAGAAAATTGATAACAAAAGGCAAAAATCTCACAAAATGTATCAGTCAGTCTTAATCGTGTGCATCATGTTGATATTGGAATGACTAATCATGAAATCTAAAGCACTAGAACATTCCATTTCACTTGAAAAATATTTCAAAAGATTCAACATAAATTGCTCATGACAACAACCAACTGACTCTTTGAACTTCGAGAAGTTTCATAAACTTTACATTTAAAATATTGATAAAAAAAATGTCAAAATTGGAACAAATCACTTGAAATTGTTTATCTGCCATAAAAGGAAATTTCTTCACTTTCACGTGTGTGCTGGTGAAATCACAATCATAACATGAGATGTTTTTTTATGAAGCTTAAGCTTTAGTTGACACAAGCTGCTGATTGTTAATAAAATAAGAAGAGTTGAAAAAATGTTTTTAGAATGATTCAGCAGATTTTGAGTATGCATGAGAACTTTAACAAATATTGTGAAATATTTTTAAGCATAGAATAAATTTTTGTGACCTTGACAGACACAGACTGAAGATGATTTGATCGAAAACATTGCTAAAACATGATGTGGTAAGTTCTGACTGGAGTTCCGATTTTTTTGTCTGAAAATTACCGTGTATCGAAATGCATAGGAACGGATGGTGCATTTTTGGACGCTAAATGGCAACAATAAGATTAAAAGTGTGCAATTTAACAGTTCTCATTACAAAATCGTTATAAAATGAGCCAACCTTCCCAGATTGACAAAGCTAATGTGTTGAAATTGCAATTTTTTAATTGGAACTAGAATTATGGACATTAGTATTTTTGATGCTTAGCAAAGCGATTTAACATTTTTAAAGCAACGAATCCGTATAGTTTGTGTAGAAAATCACCACTTGAAGGCTACTAAGTTGAAGAGGATACACCCTTCCTGAAGATAGTCCATAATCCATAATAGAAACACCCAATTCCCTCCCTGACTCTAGAACGGAAGCCGTGTGAAGCCATTTGTGAAGTTGTGTCAAGCCAATAATTTTGGGAGCATTGGCAAAGTAGGTGTCAGTTGGGAGGTGGGTATCAAGTATGGAGTAAGGTGGGTCCGAGTTTGAGGGGGTTTGTGAAGTCATTTGAAGTTTTGTAGAAGGATTGAACGGGCGCCACGGGTGCCACCCGAATAGCTTAGTATTAATTAAATATCATCAAATGAGTTCCTCTCTATCCCAGTTATCTGACAAAAGTGAATGCATTCGACTCCCACCTTTGTTGATCAATTTTGCAAAACATTAATTAAATTAAAACTCAACCGGCAATATTTGCTCAGCCAGACTCAGACTCGATGAACTGTTTATCAATTAAATTCTTCTACAAACATCGCATCAAGTGTGCCGCATTAAATTCTATTAATTCTCAAATTACATAACAACAGACACTATTGCATGCCACATACAGCTTATTGACAACAATCATGTGTGTTTAGCCACACGCACACAATTGCAGGCAGTTCTATATCTTTAAATGAATCTTTGCATCTTCTCCACAGTCATATAGCGACAGTGATTCCGTACAGATCTAAAATATTTTTCAAAGCTACCAAAAAATGTCATACAAAGTTTATTATTTCAATTTTCGTGGATTGGCTGAACCAATTCGATTCATGTTAAAGTACAATGGAACTGAATTTGAGGATGTCCGAATTGAACGTGAAAATTGGCCAGAATGGAAAGACAGTAAGTACAAAAAAGCCGGCAATACAGTGACATACTTGATGTTTATGAGTATTGTCTATGTTTATACTTAGTCGTGCCTTATAAGGAAAGTTCAAATTTAGTAAATTGAAGTCTAAAATGAACGCCCATTATCTGGAATAATTTAATATTTTTGTGATGATGCAATGCGTCTGTTGAGCATTAATTCTGATCTTTATTTGATTGTTTATGATGACTTTTAATTTATTATATCCAATGCTGGAATTTTAAGGTCAATTCTTATTTTAACAAAAATAAAGTCATTCCATGAAAGGCAATGCTGAATATCATGATTCAAAATTGATAAGATAACAGGCACACTTGAGTCATTATCATAATAACATGCCATAAATGGAAATTAAATCTCAACTGACAACGATAATATGATTGCAGGTTCTGTTCGATAATAATTGCAAATTTATCATGACTTGACATATTTATGTTGTAATGAGCTGTTTACATTAAACAGTCATCCAACAACAAAAAATTGGGATATACACTTTTAAGCTAGTTGACTTCACATTTGGGAGGAAAAGAATTTTATTTGATTTTTTGAAGTTTTTTAAATCTGCTAGAAAATGACAACAATTAACTAAACTACTAGAATTAAGAAAAAATAATTATTGTTGTCAGTTTCTAGCAGTTTGCACAAATGCTGTCACTTCATTAAATTTTCTAGTAATTATTTCATTTTCTGTCAAATTATAGTAGTTCTTTTAGATGCTGTCACTTTATTGCAGTTTCTGAAACTGTTATAATTTTCTGTCAGTTTAAAGAAGTTTTATTAAATGCTGTAACTTTATAGCAGTTTTAACTTTATATTGAAATTTAGCTCTTACTAGCAATTTTTTTTCAGTTTAGAGCAGTTCCAATTAAAATCAAACTTCAGCAACATCATTAAGATTTTTTTTCATTCCTACATTTACAGAAATGCCAATGAAGCAAATGCCAGTATTAGAAATTGATGGTAAAAAATACTTCCAATCTGTCTCAATCTGCCGCTATTTGGCCACAAAATTCGGTCTCTCTGGGAAAGATGCTGATGAAAATTTGGAAATTGACAGCGTTGTTGACACCTTTGTTGATATGAGACTCAGTAAGTAATGACAATCCACAGATGAGCAATTAAATTACAATTTATTTAACTTTTTGTAGAAGTCACACAAGCATTTATGTTACCAGAAGACCAAAAAGAGGCAGCAATGAAGAAAGTTTTGGAAGAGACAATTCCACTTTATCTCTCAAAACTCAACTCACTTGCTGAGGAGAATGATGGATATTTAGCATGTAAGCGTCTCACTTGGGCTGATATTTATGTCACATCATTGAGTGCATTGATCAATTTTATTGGCAAAGGCCAAGACTTGTTCGCAACTTATCCAGCATTGAAGAAAGTCATCGACACAGTCGAATCGATTGAGAATATCAAAAAATGGATTGCAGAACGTCCAGTTACTGAATATTAATATTTTGATTTATTTATTTGTGTTTTTTGAATTTAAATAAAACCTTTTAATTTTTTGAAAAATCTGATTTATTATTCTACTTGTAATTGGATTAGTCATGAGCAGCAGTGCTGAATCTATGATTTGCAATACCAATATTATAGTTCTATCAATCTTGCCAGTTTTCAGCACTTGTTTGAGTTTCTAGAAGTTAATTTCTAGCAGTTTTGTCACTTCTAGCAGTTTTGTCATTTCTTGCAGTCAGTTTTTGTCAATTTCTAGCAGTTCTGCAACTCGCATTCCATATACAGCTTATCAACAAAAAATCATGTGTGTTTAATCACACGCACACCATTGCTATGCCTTCAAATGATTATTTACATCTTCTCCACAGTCATACAGCGACAGTGATTCCGAACAGATCTAAAATCAGATCATGGCATACAAACTTTATTATTTTAATATTCGTGGATTGGCTGAACCAATTCGTTACCTCTTGAAGTATGGTGGAACTGAGTTTGAAGATGTCCGCATTGAACGTGAAAATTGGCCAGATTTGAAAGACAGTAAGTAATTATGCCGGTTGATGTTGTAATCTGTGCAGTGACGGTGCATAAATTTTAGAAAATGTCTTGGTTGTGTATGTTAAGTGCCTCATGCCTTATAAAGAAGAAGTAAATATTCAATTAAGATTATAAATTGGAAATCAGTTCCGTTTATTGAATTAAATGCGCTAGAGTTCTAAAATGACTAGTCTCCTGAAATATTTTACATTTTTTTTTGACTTAATTCCAGCGATGCCAATGAAGCAAATGCCAGTCTTAGAAGTTGATGGTAAAAAATATTTCCAATCTATCGCAATCAGCCGCTTTTTGGCTACAAATTATGGACTTGCAGGAAAAGATGCTTTTGAAAGTATGGAAATTGACAGTGTTGTGGACACATTTAATGACATGAGAATTAGTAAGTTTATTAGCCTTGACCCAACAAAATCATGAACTTTTACTTATTTTTTAGAAATTACGCAAGCATTTTTGGCACCAGAAGCTGAAAAAGAGGAAGCAATGAAGAAAGTTTTGGAGGAATCAGTTCCACTTTATCTTATGAAGCTCAACTCACTTGCTGAGGAAAATGGTGGATATTTGGCTTGTAATCGTCTTACATGGGCTGACATCTATGTTGCTGCAATGAGTGGATTAATTACTTTCATTAGCAAAGGTCAAGATTTATTCGAAACATATCCAGCTATTAAGAAAGTCATTGAAAATGTTGAGGCAAATGAGAATATTAAAAAGTGGATTGCTGAACGACCTGTTACTGCTTATTAATTTTTTAAGTTAAATTTGATGCATTTTTCAGCAAGAATAAAATTTTCAACTTTACTGGATTATTTTTTCTAGCAGTTAAGTCAATTTTTATCGATTTGTAGCAATTTCTAGCAGTTATGCCAGTTTCTAGCATTTATGTCAATTTTTATAGATTTCTAGCAGTTATGTCAATTTCTATCCATTTCTAGCAGTTATGTCAATTTCTATCCATTTCTAGCAGTTAAGTCAATTTCTATCCATTTCTAGCAGTAATGTACGTTCTACCAGAAACTCAAACTAAACTAAAATCTCAATTTTATGTTCCATTTTATTAAAAAAAATCCCTAATTTAATCCAAAAACTTTCACAATATATTCAACAAAATTAAAAACCCCGATTCCTTAATGCTAAATTTGTCATTATCTTTGCTCATCAAAATTCATGTCCAACAACATCGATGTATCCTCAGGAGCACGACCAAGTACCTCCAAAAGCTTTAAATAATTCCTCATGACCCAAAATTCCATGAAAATTTTCCATAATCGATATTCGAAAAAGATTTTACGTTTTAAAAATGAGAAAATATTTCCACCGGATTTTATGAGTGACGAAATTGCAAATCGTGCCATAATTTTAGGTCTGTCGACAATGTCACCATGCTCACGAGCAATTGCGCGAACAATATTTAAATTTCTAACTATAAACAATAAGTTCCTTGGCATGTCCCGTAAAATATTCATAATAATGTCAAATCTTTCAGATGCAATTTTTTTCATGTACTCAACTTCCTGTTCTGTATACTTTGTTGCAAAACTAAACTTATTTACATCGAGTGGCTTTTGAAGTAAAATCTCAGCAAATCTTTTGTGGTCCGAAACTCCAAGCTTGTCGCTGTAAATCTTCATTAAGTCGTAGTCACGAAGTACAATTGCTTCCCAGAATCTTGACAAATTGTAGCGAATTTCTTGTGGTATATTTTCATACAGGCCATGATCAAGAAGAACTAGCTCTGCTTTGCCTGATTTAGATTTTCGGATAAAAATGTTTCCTTAAAAAATAAATTGAGAATATTTTTAAATTTTGTTATAAAAAATTTCAAGTAGTGCTTTCAGTTTTTAGAAGTTTAATCAAATGCTGTCAGTTTCTAGCACTTTAATCAAGTGCTGTCAGTTTCTAGCATTTTAATCAAATGCTGTCAGTTTCTAGCAGTTTAATCAAGTGCTGTCAATGTCTAGCAGCTTAATCAAATGCTGTCAGTTTCCAGCAGTGTAATCCAATGCTGTCAATTTCTAGCAGTTTAGCTAAATTGTGTCTAAAATCATAATGTAAGAGCAAATTTTACCTGGATGAGGATCAGCATGAGTAAATCCAGTGACAAATATTTGATATGCAAAAGTCTGAAACAACTTCATGTCAATATCCTTTAAGCTCAAGTTCATCATTTTAATCTCGTCCATATCACTAATTTTACATGCATTATCTATAAATTCAGCAGTCAAGACTCTCGTGCCTGAATATTCATGATAAACTTTTGGAATGTGAATAAAATCAAAATGTTTAAGGTCCTGAGCACATTGTTCAGCATTTGCAGCTTCATTAACAAAATCAAGTTCCTTTTGGACTGAATTTTTCAAGTCCCTAAGCATCCATCCAAAATTATAATTTTTATGTACGAAAGCAATCAAGTCTTGAAGAAACAAAATAGTTCCAACATCACCACGGAATCTTTTTTGTAAGTCAATATATTGAACCTTTACAGCCACATCATGTCCATCTTTAGTCTTTGCACGAAAAACTTGTGCCAAACTTGCAGCTGCAATCGGTTTATAGTCAAATTCTTCAAATAGCTCATCCGGTGTCTTTCCAAAGTCCTCAACAAAAAGTCGATTAACTTCATCTTTTTTCCGTTCCAGGCACTTATCTTCAAGCTTCTTTAACGTGTCTGTATACTCAATTGGCAGGATATGATTAATTGCTGAAAATCCTTGTCCAATTTTTATGTACAGTCCGCCATTAAGCAGACATCCTTCAAGTAATCGATTTGCAGCTTTTAAATGAACTTCCTTGACTTTTGTCTTATATTCTTCTGAGTTCTCGTCCAGGCCGAAGAGGTCAATTTGGTAATCGAGTGACATTTGACATGCTATCATAGCTGAGCGGAGGAATCGATGAACTGCACCTGGAATTGAGGAAGAGAATTAATATTTTGGATAATTAGGTGATGTTAAAGGTGCGAGATGTCAAGATGGGGGATTTGTGCTGTTAATTGAGTCATGTCATTGCTTTTTAACCAAACTGACGCAAAATGGCACTTAATGTCTTATAAAACACTCCAAGTACTCTACAGACCCAAAACTCATCAATTTCAAGAACTTTCAAACCAGCCACAACAACTGCATCCTAAAAGCCACAGCACATCCTCAACTTACCAATAGTTTCACATTCTCGAATTGTAAGGTCGTAAAGCAAAAGACTTCCAACAGAACTGCCGAAAATTAAACTTTTTTTGTATTTTCTCCAGCTTGGAACGACTTGTGAATTTGTTGACAATCCACTGGACCTTAATGCAAAACTTTTAAATGATAATTTGGCAATTTTGCTCAACATTTTCTTGAAATAAACATTAAATTTAAATAAAATAAATAAATTTTGTTCCAAAAAAATAGATAACAATATTGTGAGTAGTGCTGGAACAGCTGATTGCTGACTGACTTTTTCTGAACGGACTCAAAGTTTTTCAATGTTTTTGTTTATGTTTTGCAAGAAAGTTTCAGCCAATGTTTTCAATGCTGATGCGATTAATCTACATTATTGAGAGAAACTTGACTGAAAATAAAATGAGAGAAGCTTGCTGATGAAGTTGTGCAACTTAGTAACAAAATGTCCAGATTGGTGCTTCAGTGGTGTTTATGTTAAAGGTTCTTTGTTAAATTTAGCCAAATAACTTGATGATTTGTGACATATTGCCTTAAATCAGGGGCGTAGCCAGGAATTTGAAGAGGGGGGGCAAAAAAAATTTAAATGGAAAATTCAGAGGAAAGGGGGGGATTTTTACGATTTTTTCATAAAACTTCTAGCAAAATGAAGAAATTTCTGTTAACTTCGAGGGATTTGTAATTCAATCCCCCCCCCCCCCCCCTGGTTACGCACCTGCCTTAAATTATTCACAAGTAAAGCTGAAACAAGTCCTTGTAGGTAGAAAGTTTCATTATATGGAAGCTAAATGCTGCTGGATTTTGGCAATAAAAAATTAAAGCAGTTAAGTGCCTTGCTGGTCAAATAGGTAAGGCGCTTGGCATAAATTTGGGATGATAACTCGAAGATCGTCGGTTCTAATCCAGCCATTTCCAAATTTGTTCTTTTTCAGAAGTTTAGATACTTCAACTGCTTAATGTACGAGATCAAGCCATAATTGGGCATTTGGGCAACGTTGGATTAAGGAACGGGTCAGGAACTTGAAGTGTAGCAAGAGAGGTAAAAAAACTCCTGCGTCAACAAAAATTTCTTTATATTGCTATGGATTAAACATACTTAAAAATCCCCGTTCCCCTCAAATTTTTAGACACAAATTTTTTTTTCCTCTATTCCTTTCAATTCCTGGCTAATATCTTGATTATTGTTAAAAATAACTCATGCACAAGCTGTAAAAAAAACTTCTGAAAAAAAATTTATAAAAATACTTTTTGTTTTCAGAGAATTTATTTCCAAATTTTAAATATTTTCATTAGAAGCTAATTACAAAGAATTAATAAAAAAAAATATGTTTGAATTTTTTAAAAAATTACAATTGACAAATTACATCAGCCTAATTTAATTAAGATTTTCTTTTAAAGTTGTTCTACAATATTTCTTAAATATAATATTTGGTAAAAAATTATGTTAATATATTGAAATTGATTTATTATAAAATTGAATTTTAAACAAAACACATCTGAAGCAGTAAGAATTTGAAGAATATTGTACAATTAGAAAAAATATTAATTTCAATTTTTATTAATTTAGATCTTTTGGCAATGATAACAACAACCATTCGCAAGTAATGGAGAGCAATAAAATTGTTCACGTCGTTGTAATTAAATTTATTGAGATAGTAATCAGTTCCTGTCGAGGTTTCAAGGAAAATGTTAAGTATAATATTTTTGATATTTTTATATTTTCATTTAAATCTTTAATTTTTTAAGATTTTTAAAAGATGGCACTAATTAGCTGTATTATAATATAAAATATTTTATATCGTTTTTGAAATTGCATATTTTCCTATTGTATTGCAGGATTGCAAAATATTCTTATATTTAACATTCGTTGACGTATTAATCATCACCACTGGTGCATAATTGATGTGCACTAAGATTCTATTCAATAAAATTCAGCCTTATCAGAACACTTAACCAAATAAGTTCTTATTAATTGTGAACAATAATGTCAGAAATTTTGGATTATCTTAGTAATTAAAAATTGAAAGTGTCTCAAAATTTATTCGAGTCCTCAAAAAATGATTGAACAATTTAATTTCAGCTAAAAATTAAAATCATTTATTTCAGTTTAAGATAAAATTTTACCAATTTTTTCAACAATATTGCAGAATTTTCAATTTGTCAACACATTTATGTGACACCAAAAAAAATGCAAAGATACGGCATGTCAACAAATTGTCAAAAATAATAAATTCGTCCTGCTAAGGTCACCATTAAATGGTCCTTCAAAAAGAGGAAATACATTATTAATTGAAAGAAAAAAAGTTATTAATTGAATTTAGTGAGAAGTGCTGACTAAAAGGCGAATAATTGGAAAGTTAATGAAAAATTTTTAGGTTTTCTTTGTCAAGATTAATAATTTAAAAGTTTCAAAAGCTTTAATTGATTTTCAACGCATTTATTAATTTAAAAATTTCTGACCGAATTGAAATTCATTTGTTCATTTTCTAGCTTGTAAAATAGCTATTTATGACATTTTTAATCAGGAATCACAATTCAAAGCAGGTAGTTCAGCTTCAGTTCTTATTCTATCTTAAAGTTATGAAAGAAAAAACTCTAAGAAAAATCACTAAATGACGCAATAAAAACTAAAGTTAAAATAATAAAAAAAAATATTCTCATAAATTTGACAAATCAATCAAAATACGACAGATTAATCACAAATTAGATTAAAAACTAAGCAAATGTAATACATTGTGTCGAAATACAATCAATTTGCAATCATCTCAATTCCAAACGAGGATAGACAGATAACCATTGTTGATGATCATCAGACCAGCCGAATCATTACAATTATCATCATTGACGAAAGCAACAGCACATATGGACTCTTAACCGAAATGGAGTAAATACATGAAAATATCTTTAGTGACAAGAGCATGAGAAGCAGCAACGAATGTTTAAGAAAAAACAAAATTGATGAAATTTTTCAAGTGGGGGAGGAGTTACTGATTATCAATGAATTAAATGAAACTTCAATGATATGTTCAACAAAAGAAGACAATATTACAACAATGAAGCAGATCTTTAACGCATATCTTCTCAAAGTTCCATCAGGATGAACGATACACACGCAGCATCATACGTTCAGTCATCCTGCTGAAGCAGAAATAAAGCTCAAAACTAATGTCACACTTGACTTCAATAAATTCAAGATAAAATATCCAATGAACATTTTTAAGGATAACTTTACACAAATAGAATGTCTTAGAAAAATTAAAGCAAACATTGCATTCAATCACCAATATAAATGCATTAAGTGGAAATTATACACTACCAAGTTGGATTATTTACATCATTATGCCGGTAATGACATTTACACAAATCATATTATTTATATGCTATAAACTGTGGAAAGAAACAGACAACAACAATGCAAGACTCCTTTATCAAATGGAGCGATCTATGGGCAACGAATCATTCTAATATTAGAGCTTCAACTATTCAGCCATAGGAAGAAAAATAAACTATAAAAAAGAAAGTGTAAAAATTAAAAGTGAAGAACAAGATTAAAAAATATTAAAATAAGTGAGAAAAAAAACTCAAGTAAAAACAATTAAAGTGAATTGAAGTGAATTGAAAAAAATGAATACATTTAAATTCGGATACATTGTCTGTAAATCGACAGACAACAACGTAGCTAAAACTAACACAGTTTCTGACCATACTCCGATGAACTGGACTGAAGACGACTTTCAACCAAAATCAGAACAGAGTTCCCCGGCTCAATCAGGTATCACAGTAATTTCCTTCCCCGGGAGTTGTTAAGTTTGAAATACTTTTATATTTTTTATATTTTCATTTATATCGTTAATTTTCTTAAGACATTTAAAAGATGACACTTAAGCTGTCTCATAATTTAAAATATTTTAAATCTTTTTTTTAAATATCATATTTTTCATATTTTTGCAGAATTGCAAAATCTTCTTATTGCTATATTTTAAAATTCTTTAGCGTATTAATCAGCACCACAGGTGCATGCGCACTTAAAAACTAGTATATAAGAACTAATTTCTTTCAAATAAAGAGCAGTCTTATCATAGATTTTAACTAAACAAGTTCTTATTAATTAAATTTAAATTTTGGATTATCTTACAGGTAAAGTCCAACAAAACATTAACGCTATTATTACAAATCTTAATTCTCAAATTAATCACTTAATCAGCGAGTTGCATATCATACATCACCAGATGTTTGATTTAGTAGAAGGAAGGAACTACCTGGCAAATAAGGAGGTGGAAAAAAAATTGAACAGCAATAATATTTTAATACAGCAACTTCATGAATTACTAAGCATCAACCTTAATGGGACGTCCAGCGATTGTAAGTATTATCCTACTAATTTTATTTGTTTTTTTTTCTAATCTTTCTTCCATTTAGCTAGACACTCTTTGGTTACAACTCATTCCGAATCTACTGAAGTAGCATCAACAACCAATCGTGATGACCCCACCGTTTCTGGCAGATCTATCTATAATTAGTCTAAATACGCTGTCTCCATTGGTTACGAACCAGCATCTGATGCCACATCAACAATTGATCATTACAGTCCTTCCGTATAAAGCGGATCAACTATATCTAATCGGAGTACAACTCTGATATCATTGAAATTTCTGACAAAGACACAAGTTAAAATAATAAAAAAATATTCTCATTAATTCGACAAATCAATTAAACTGGAGATGTGATGCATAAGCTTCGAGAAAAGTATATTATTCCGCCAGAGATTAGACAGCATTTAGATTCAATTAATCAGTTGAAGCAAGTTATTGAAAAGACAGAGATGAAGTCATGGGAGAAATTGGGTAATGAGCCATAGTGGCAGAAGCACAAGGAAGCAGCAGGAATATCTTTTAAATGTAAATGTTATGTTAAATAATCGAAATCAAATTATAAGGTTTTTTTTATATTACTTTGATTTTTAAATGAATTAAGACAAATGTAGTACATAAGATGTGATTACTGTGTAAGAAAAGGACATATTAAGTATCGACAAGTAGTCTTTATTTCTACATGGCAACAAAAAGGTAGAAGTGAAATATTTACGAGACATAAAAATTTTGTATTCAACGGTATCAGACATGTCGCGGAGTAATTTTTTGTGTGCATAAAAAATAATACAAGACTAAACATGAGCACCAAAATTGGTGATGTGACAATACACCTTTGAAAGGAAGTGAAAATTATCACCTATGGAAATTTCGTAGAATGTGTGTATTATCGACGAAAAATGTTGATCACTGTGTCAAGGTCAGTGACAAGGAAATAAAGTCTGACGAAAATAAGAAAGTAATGGATTATACTTGATTGTTGTATACGGAATGGTTGTAATCAATCGTAACAGAGAGATCTAGCGATAATTCATCTCAATCATAATTAAAACAACAAATGTAAAACTGTGGGAGAGAGCGGATAGCTAATGCTCTTGTCTCATTCTCTCGAGTAATTAGTCTTATAGATACTGTAGAAGAATAAAGATATTTCAATAAGTAAAAACCTGTGATTATTCATTTATCAGTTATTTATATATAGTCATATTACAGAGTTATTAGGCATCTAGGCTCCAGCTAGGACAATAGTCTATACAAGGAATAGGACAGGAGTCTTATTCCCACAAAACAAAAATAAATAAAACTTCAGAATGTATTCAAACTTAAAACTTAAAACGTAAATCTCTAAAAAAGCACAAATTGGCTAATTAAAATAATATTTTGCATATTTTCAAAATAATTTAAGAGTAAATCTCTCAAAAGGCATAAATTGTCTAGATAAATAATAATTGAAGTTTATTTATAGTTTATTTATAAAATGGCATAAATTGCAATAGAAAAAGGAAAATATTGGTTCGCATAAAATAGTTTTGAAAAAAAAAATATATATATATTTTCATTATCTGATAATACTTTTATTAATGTGGAAGTTTTAGGCCACGTGAAATAATCTGGTTAAAGACGATTATCTGAAAATATTTCATTAGTGAAAGAAAGAACCAAAATTTTTATTTTTATTTATTTTGTTTATTGTAATAAATTTAAAAAAAAAAATAATACAAATTGAAAGACACAAATTAATAAAAACACGGATCCAAGATGGCCACAATACGGGACATAAAGGAGCAGCAGGCGTTGATATACATCAGAAATTCAAGATGATCCCACCAAGGTCGATGAAATATTGAAGAAAATTGAAGAATTGGAGAAACAAATGGAGGAAAATGACACAAAGCTTAAATCATTGAGTGGAGCTGAAGCATCGACTTATGTGATAGAAAATGAATATGGAAGCATGCAAAATTTATCTCATGATATAAAAGAAAGGCTCTTTATTCTGCCACCCAAAATTAAAGGTCAAGGAACATCGAACCTATAAAAAAACTAGAGTCAAATGAATAGAATACAGTCCATACTACAAAAGTAACAAACAATAACGGTTTTGTTCATCAAACAAAACATCAACCCTCAAAATCAAACTGATGATCCTTCGCAAAACCCAAATGCTCAAAATATTGAAAACAACGTGAATGATCAAGGAATACCTCCACAGCAGCCACAGCCTCCAAGGACCCCGGATTTCTCAGACGAAAATGATTTGAATAGATAAATGGACATGATGCGTGGTTTTAGTAATGCAAATCAACAATTAGGAGAGGATTCTCAAAACATAGAATTGCTTCAAGCAATGCAAAAGCAAAATGAAATAACTGAAAAATGCAGAATGAGCTGGAGTAGAAACATGGGCTAATTTGCCTCAAAATCACATGTTTTGTAAAAATCGGTCAATTAAATTTGATTTCGAAATAGACGTTTTTCAAGTGGACGTTCTTCTCCATTAACGTTCGTATAAACTCACAAATTGCGATAAATGACACTCTTATCAATATGAATATAGCGAAACAAAGACGAGTATTATCATCAACTCATTTTGGAATCAGATCAATTCTTATGGATAAAACGATTTGTCCAGTGAGAAAATTGCTGCGACTGAAGATATATGGATAGAAACAGTAATGCACAATACAATAGTTATATCACCATATGGCACAACTTTCCACAAACCATCATAAAGTAATGCAACACGTGGTCACCATTCCTTCATTCTGGGAAACACAACAATAATAAATAATTAATCACCATTCAGCACTTCTTACCTTCATTATCATAAACTGCTTACCTATCATAAAAACGCATGCAGAACATTCTTACCTTCAATGTCATAATTTTCATCATAATTATTCTTGTATAAAAAGAAGAGGTTTTTTAAAATAAACATTCATTATTTCATAACTATAACTGACGCAAGTTGGAAGTGTTAAAATAAAATCGAGCCGAGTTGTGGCATTGGAGATATTTAGTTTACTAAGTCTGCCAATTAAGAGTTATTCTAAAACACACATAGAACCGTGAAGAATCACATTAAAAGTAATAATTTTAAATAAGTGGAAAAAGTGAATTAAAGTTGCGAACTGAAGAATTTCCTTGACCAGTGACTATAAAGTTTCATCAAGATTCTCAACCCAAACGCACGACATTACTCACCACTCAGACATCGACCCGAACCGTGCAGAAGAATAAATCCAGAGAACATGGTGTATACGGAATGTATGCAACCGCGATCACTTGCAATGATCGACGTCAAACTTGTTAAACAGACGGTTTTTTAACTTTCGATTTCGAGCGAAATACTGATTCTAGGCCTGGACTCATTATTCGCAAGTTGTGTTTAATTTCAGATTTATATAGAAACAATATATCTCCTTGTACCCGTGTACACATGGAAGCCGGTAACGAGGCAGTACAGCGATTCAACGCTATATTAAATGCTACAAAGATGCCAGATTTGGAGAACCGCTAGACCACATACACAAGCCAGAAATAATTATCAAACCCAAAATTCCGCTCAAAATATGCCACAAATACAAAGAAACCTTTAAAATAATCCCAATTATAACCCTGTTCAAAATGTGTTTCAAAATTAAAGGAAAAATTATTCCAATAATCCTAATTATAACTCAGCTCAAGCAGCAAATCCACGACCAATTGAAGGTGACATTTCCATGAGGTCAAAAAAAACCGATCAAATGTCAGGCCTTTCTTATAGATCTCAAAACATTCATAACAATGAAGCCGAACAGATTGATGAAGAGACTGATTCAGAATATGAAGAAGAAGAAGATATTATTGAAAATGACATAAATTTTCAATTAGCGACATTGCCAAATCACAAGACATAAACAATTACATTCCCTTTGTTGAATTAGAAACCACAAATGGAGAAATTCTCAACTTTCTCATTGATACTGGTAGCAACAAATCATACATTAATCCCAAAAGAGTAAATAATTCAAGACAAATAGAAAAAACAACAGTAAAAAATGTCATTGGCACACATACAATCGACCGAGCAGTCCAATTCAACCCATTTCCTCATTCAAAATCATCTTTTAAATCTGATTTCCTTGTCTTTGATTTTAATCCTTTCTTTGATGGATTAATTGGTAATGAATTCCTAACTCTATCAAAAGCTATCGTTCATTGTGGAAATTGTGAATATAATAAATAAACCAAGTTAGTTCACTGTAGACTGTAAAGATAGACAGACGTGCATTTTATTTAACCGTATAATTAATAAACATTAATATCACATTTCAGATTATCGCTACATGGTAGCAGAGCGTAGTTTTGTGTGAAGTTAAATAAAATTGCATAAATTATTAAAAACAAATTGTGAAGAAATAATTATATAATTTAAAATTATTGGACAATTGTGTGAAAAAAATAATTTAAAAATGTCAGTGAAATTTGGAGACATAGCTATAGAAAAACTCAGAGGTTCCGAGAATTACCACACATGGAAATTCAACATGGAAAATTTCTTGGTCACGAAGGAATTAGGAAAGTGTATTTCTACACCTGTGACCGAAGTGAAAGCCGAGTTATTAGCTAAGGCTAAATGGTTCATCGCTTTATCAGTGGATACCTCAATCCAATCTCTAATTCAAGGATTGGATACTGCAAAACAAATTTGGGACCACCTTAAAAAATTATTCGAAGACTCAGGACTCTCCAGGAGAATCGCATTACTGATACAGTTAACTCAATTGAGACTCGAGTCTAGCGACGGAATGCAAGACTACATAAATAAAATGACGGATTTATGCAACAAGCTCAAGGGAATTAACTTTGATATCTCGGAAGAATGGAAAGTTTCGATCTTGCTTGCAGGATTAAGTGTGGGAGAGAGCGGATAGCTAACGCTCTTCTCTCATTCTCTCAACGGTATTATGCATGCATGCATAATTTTACGTTACTATATAAGTAATGATTTCCGACCCTTCATCCTTGGCATTGAAGCCAGAAACGAAGACGTCACAAGTGATTTTCTAATTCAGAAGTTAATTGACAACAGTGATGAAAAGAATGAAAATGGGAGTGCTTTTTCTTCTAACAAAAAGAAGTTTCAACAGAAAAAAGCAGAGGGCGAAGTCGACTCGGATTTTGTATGGAAAGGTCGACTTGAGTTCACTTGACTTCATACAAATTTCGAGTCGACTTCGCCCTCTGGAAAAAAGTCAAAAAGTGTTTTAATTGTGGTGAAGCAGGCCACTTTGCAAATGACTGTCCGAAACCAAAGAAGAAAGAAAAAGACTCAAAAGATTCGAAAAATAAGAACGAATCTTCAAACAATAAACCAAAAAAGGGCGCATGGCTAGCAGTTGCAGGAAAAAGCGATAATCAGCAAGTTGGCTTGAAATGCGGGGATCAGGTTACAAATTCTTGTGAAAATAAACAAATATGGTTTATAGACAGCGGAGCATCGTCTCATATGTCGCCTCATCGAGAAATATTTGCAAGTTATAAAGAAACGAATGGAGGTGATATAACTGCCGCAAATAATGAGCAAATGCCAATCAAGGCCATTGGTAACACACAATTATTTCTGAAAGATGCAGAAGTAACAGTTAAAAATGTGTTGCATGTACCGAAATTGGGAGCAAATTTACTTTCTGTGGCGAAAATTGTTGATATGGGCAATAGTGTCGTATTCAATGAAGATGGATGTTCCATATACAATAGCGAAAAAGAATTAATCGCACGTACACCACAGCAAAACGGTGTTTACAAATTTGCTGCTGTGGAAAATAAAGCATTTGTTGCTGCGCAACCTGATACCGACACTTTAATGTGGCATAGACGTCTCGGGCATGTAAATTATCAAACACTCATTAAAATGAAAAATGGAGCTGTTGATGGAATGAATTTCATCGAGAATGAAGGTGAAATCAAGAACTGTACGACATGTGCTGAAGCAAAAATGTGTGCTAAACCGTTTGGAAAATCGAAGCGTTCTTCAACTGAAATTCTACAATTAATACATTCGGATGTCAATGGACAAATGGACACACAGTCCATTGGAAAAGCTAAGTATTTTGTTACTTTTATAGATGACTTTAGCCGTAAAGTATTTGTATTCTTATTGAGATCAAAGTCAGAGGTCACCGAAAAATATGTGGAATTTGTCAGATTCATCAAAAACCAAAACGGAAAAAGGGTGAAGACCCTACGCTCAGATAATGGTGGAGAGTACATCAATGATAAATTTAATTTGTTTTGCAAACAAAATGGAATTCATCATGAAAAAACGATTCCTCACACCCCTCAACAAAATGGAATTGCTGAGAGAATGAATCGTACACTGATCGAAAAAGCCAAAAGTTTATTGTTTGATGCAGACCTACCAAAATGCTATTGGGCTGAAGCTGTAAATCATGCTGTTTAAGTTAAGCAATAAGTCTAAACATTCTAGTTTCGCAAAAATTCTTACAAAATATTATTTATATTTTTAAGCATAAAATTGTCACTTATTGTTACGATAAACTTCCTATATTTATTGTTAAGTATATTTCTTATAAACAATTATATTTGAATAAAAGCACTGACACTTGTAATTAAGCTTTAGTGCACTCCGAAGTCTTACCAAACGTACTTCGTATATTTTATTTATTCTGAGTCATTAGTACTCAAAGCTTTACTGTTGAAACCCAACCTCAACATTTTGGTCCTTCGAACAAGTAGATAAAAAATAAAATCAGTGAAATACAGTCCAAAGTTTCGACTCCAAACACAGAAATAAAGTAAAAAAATAAATCACAGAAATTTAAAAATTTCAATATAGTATCTGAAGCTAAAATTCAACACTTGCTGAGGGCAGCAAAAACGATTTTTGGAGAAAAAAGTATCTGGAGCTAAAATTCAAACTGTGAGCTGAAGGCAGCTACAACTTACAATTTACAAATTTAATCACTCGCTGAAGACAGCAAAGAGTAGAAATTCAACCGAAAAAATTGCTGAGAGCAGCAACGCATAGGAAAATTTATTTCAACATTCTGGCGCTTCTGGAAGCCACAAAAAACGAATTATAAGTTTATATTCATCAAAACCTTTTTAATTATTTTAATTTTAAATTTTAAATTTTAATTCTCAGCTAAAGTTTTAGCTAGGGAATCCAGAAAATTGTGAAAATAAACAAAAGGAAGATCCCAGCATAGAAGACTACGCGTGAAGAGGATGAACGATATGTTTGCCTGATCTTATGGAAAGATTCATTACCAAAATTAAGCGACAGCCTTAGACTAGCAGTACGCATCTGCTCTAGCGAAGAAGGAAAATGGATTTAGAAGCCATTGTTCCACGAAAAATCAAATGAGTTCATGAGAGACTATAGAGAAAGCGGACACATGACGGAGATTACTGATCCAAAGGAACTATTTCGAGAAGGTACGAACATACATACATTAGTTTACATCACTGTTATCCGAGAAAATGCCTTAACAACAAATAGGAGAAATGTATTCCATGCAAGCTTACCAACATCAAATGGGTTATGTTTGAACGACCTCATACAGGCAGGACCATGCCTATTAAATGATTTGGTGATCTCACAATTGAAGGGAAGAACATTCAAATTCAAAATATCAGCTGATGTCAAGCAAATGTTTCGACAAGTGTTCTTGTTTCAAAAAGGTGTATTTTCATTTTATTCCTACAGATTACGCGGTAGAACAATGAATAAACAGAACCAACAAGCACAGCCGAATCAAGTAGGTCTGAAACAGACAAGAATCCAAGCAACCTTAAATGCTGCTAAACTAATGGATTCAATTAAACCAATTCCAGAATATTCAGATGATAAAATTTGCCCACTAAGATGGATAACTTACGTAGACATAGTTCAAGAAGATTTAAACGCTTTATAAAATTAAAATTATAAAATAGCATAAAAATTATTCATCATAATATGACAAATCGATCAAAATACGACGAATTTATCATGAACAACTCAAACTATATGAAAGATATATGTATCTTTATAACCAATAATTGCGTGGTTCACGCTCATCGCTCGTAATCAACTCTTGAATTTTAAACAGTGTCAGTGTAACGCGTAAATTTCTTTAGCACGGAGATATCCAAGGTAAAGCTCTATGAAGAAGCTGAAGTTGGTGTACAACAACCGCGGACAATGCCTAGATTCAGAAACACAAAATCAATCGGTCCGGGTATTAATACAGTAGTTATAGCAACACCAATGCATCGAACCCTGAATGCATATAAATTATAGCAATACAAATGCACAAATGCATAGAACCCTGAAAACATAAAAATAATAAAGCAGTACTATTTTGTTATCCAATAAATTCGGTCGACTTTTATTTTATTCTTTAAACTCGATTTTTATTTTGATCTTTCAGATTAGTTTTTGAAGTTTATTTTCAGAATCCTTTTAGAGTCTTATAATTGGCGCAGTTGGTGCAGAATTAAAATTCACGCGTAGAATTGTACGGTTGCTAAGCGAAAATTAGTGATTTAGTGAATTTGTGGTGCTCCCTGACAAAACAAAAGTTTTCGACTGGAGAACTGGTCAGGCATAGTGATAAGTGTCGAGAATAAAATAAATAAAGTGAAGCAAAGAAAATCATCTTTTAATAAATTCAAATAGGAAAATAAAAATTATAAAAGTTTAATTAAATAGATGAGCGAAAATCATCTTTAATTAAATTTAAAATAAGAAAAATAATTAAATTCAAAACTGAATTTAAAGTTATATAATAATAATAAAAATTGTGAAAAAGTGAATTAAAATTAAAACTAATAAAATAAATTCTAATATTTTTTACTAATAAAATAAATTCTAATATATTTTTTCTCTCTTTTTACAGAAATCTTTCAAAAATCATCAAGCAGTAAATAAATAAAAAAAAAAAGTGAGTTCAAGAAAATTTATTCTAATACACCCCTCAAATCCCTTCTTCCCATTCCTTATATTTTGAAAAATTAACCCAAACGCCCCTAGGTTCTCGCCCCTAAGGCCCTCTAGACTTGATAGAGCGCCAAATAACCCTGTAAATATGGCGGTTCAATTAGACCCTGCCCAACAGGCCTATAATGCGACTAGAATCCCTGATCCCATCAAGATTATTCCAAATTATGATGGTGATAAAACTTCTCTTCACAGATGGATTCAAACAGTCGAAAATACCTTAAATAATTTCAATCAGTTAAGAGAACTCCCTGTGTTTCAATTATATGTCCAAGTTATACGTGATAAAATAATCGGCGATGCCGATCAAGCGTTAATTGCTAAAAACATTCCAATTAATTGGAATCAAATAAAAGAATGTCTCATTCTTTATTTCGGTGACAATCGAGAAATATCGACTATCACCCAAAAAATTCCATATCTAAATCAAGGCGAAAAAAACTTGGAAGAATTTTATCATGAAACCAACACTCTTGTTGCAGACATTAGTCAGAAAATTTCACTCGATCCTCTGAATGTCGGGCATGTCCCAGCAATCATGAGAGTCCTTGAACCCATCATTATGACAGGTTTTATCGATGGCTTAAATGGAAACTTATCTAACTTAGTCAGAAGTCATCAACCTCTGACAATGGTTGAAGCATATAAGGCAGCCCTAACACATGAGCAAGCCTTTCTTAGGAATAAAGAGCGAGCTGCAAGAAATAATGCAACAAAATTGCAAAAACGAGCTCCGAATCCTCAACCACAATACAGAGCTAAACAAAATTCAAATGCTCAATCCCAACCAAATCAAAATTTCTATTTAAATCAACCACAGAAATTTAACCCAAGACCAAATTATCAAAACCAAAGACCACCACAAAGACCACAGAATTACCAAAGTTTCCAAAATCCACAAGCTTACCAAAATCCACAAGCTTACCAAAATCCACAAGCTTACCAAAATCCACAAGCTTTCCAAAACCCTCAAGTTTCCCAAAATTTCCAAACCCCGGGACCGTCCAGACAAAATGTTGATACGGACGTGTCAATGAGAACCGTATCAGCTAGACCAAGCGGAATGAATAATCTTCATAATGTTGAAAATGTCACAGAAGAATTTTCAGACGACCAACATTGCGATTATTCAACAGACGAAGATGTTGAAGATCTAAATTTTCAAATGGGATTCCAAGATTTCGGCCAAGGCTAAAAACCAATTTAAAAAACTGCATCCCATATATCGAAATCCCAACTTCTAAAGGTTTTCTTAAATTCTTAATCGACAGTGGTTCAAATAAAAATTATATCCACCCAAAACATATTAATAATTCAAAAATCTCGAAAAATTTTAAAGTAGTTACCGTAAACGGAACAGTCACTGTCAATAAATATGTCAATTTTAACCCCTTCCCACTTGTAAAAGAATCAAAACCTTTCCAATTTTTCGTTTTTAACTTCCATAATTTTTTTGATGGCCTTATTGGATACGAAACTCTTCAAAATCTTAAAACCACAATAGATACGACAAATAACAAGCTCATTTTCGCTGATTGTTCAATTCCTATGAAAAGAAAATTTCCATCGAAAATATCAAATTCAAATGACGAACAAAGCAACACACAAGACCTCAATAATATTTGCTTACGGTACGACAATGCAATAAATGACTTGTGTGAATGCGAGAACTTTGCCTTCTCAAATTGCAGTCGCCCAGTTGACGACATTATGAATAATATGAAGTATCAGCACTTAAATTCCGAGGAATTTGAATGTTTAAAGAAAATAATATCAAAATATACACATTGCTTTCATAACAATAACGATAAAGAACCCCTTGATTTAAAATGTGACATAAGACACTCCATTCGAACACGAGACGACATTCCTGTGTACACAAAGTCGTACAGATTCCCTCATTGTCACAGAGACGAAGTTGAAAAACAAATAAACGAAATGCTTCAAAGAAATGTAATAAGACCATCTTCAAGTCCATATAACTCACCCATATGGATAGTTCCAAAGAAAAAAGACCCAATTACAGGTGAACAAAAATGGAGATGTGTAATTGACTTCAGAAAGCTAAATGACAAAACAATTGATGACAAATATCCAATACCATTGATATCAGAAATCTTAGACAGACTGGGAAAAGCCCAATATTTCACCACTCTAGACCTTTTCAGTGGTTTTCACCAAGTCTCAGTCGCCCCAAAAGATATTGAAAAAACAGCTTTTTCTTGTCCAAGTGGTCATTATGAATTCATAAAAATGCCTTTCGGTTTAAAAAACGCACCTGCAACATTCTCACGAGTTATGGACCACATTTTACGCGAATTTTTGGGAAAAAATGTTCTAGTTTATATGGATGATGTCATCATTTTCAGTACATCACTCCAAGAACATTTAGTTACGCTAGGAAAAGTTTTAAAAAAATTTGAGGAAGTCGGATTGAAAATACAACTGAAAAAATCCGAATTCTTGCGAAAAGAAGTAAATTATTTAGGTCATTTAGTAACAAACAAAGGAGTCAAACCAGACCCACAAAAAATCGATGCAATTAAAAAATGGCCGCTTCCACTTACAATAAAAGATATCCGATCATTCATTGGTACATTATCTTTTTACAGAAAATTCATCAAAGATTTTAGTCAGATAGCAAAACCCCTCACGAACATGCTTAGACAAGAAAATGAACAAAAAAATTCCAAAACAAAAATTATTCATACAGACGAATCAAGAAAAGCATTTGAAAAATTAAAATCAATTTTGACAAGTTCTTCTATACTTCAATATCCTGATTGGTCCAAACCGTTTATTTTAAATTGTGACGCTAGTAATATCGCTCTAGGCGCAGTTCTTAGCCAAAATTTTGAAGGAAAAATTAAACCAATAGCATTTGCAAGTCGCACACTAAATAAGCACGAAGAAAATCTAAGCGCAATTGAAAAAGAGCTTCTCGCAATCGTATGGGCATGTAAACATTTCAGACCATATCTTTTCGGTAATAAATTTACACTTTACACAGATCATAAACCTCTTCAACACGTATTTAACATAAAAGACACAAATTCAAAATTAATCCGATGGAGATTGCAGCTAGAAGAATATAATTACGACATAAAATACTGCCCAGGGAAAAAGAACGTCGCCGACGGATTTTCTAGAATTCCCCCAGTAAATCAAGAAATAAATTCTATGACTAACAATGCTAATATCACAGACATTGAAACTGTTCACTCAGCAGATACGGACGATAGTTATTTTATACCAATGACGGAACAACCTGTTAACATTTTCACTAACCAAATAATTCTGGCGATATCCGATATCCCAAGTGAAAAATCTGAAGAAGTCTTTCCAAGTTAAAGAATGTTAAGCCGAAATTTAAGCCGATCGGCTTAAAATCGGCTAAATTGAAATTCAGAGCTTACTATATTTACATGCTGAAAAAATATTTCACAGAATCATAGTAAAGCATGTAAAGTTCAATTTTAATACTTAAAATGGGTGTTAAATGGCTTTTTTCTATCAAAATAATCAAAAATTGAGTTAAGCCGAAAAAATCGGCTTCGATCTCTGCTATAAGTTAATAAGTTGATTATTGATAATTTGAAAGCCAAACAATAAATTACTAAAAGGAAAAATGGGCTTCTTTTTCAGCAATGACAATAGTAGTCATTCCCAGATTTTAGAGGGAAATAAAGTAGTTTTGACGCTTTTAATTACCTTAGTGGTAATTAAATTCATTGAAATAATAATATTTTTCTCTCGAGGCTTTAAGAAGGCGATAGCAAACGGGCGAAGAGAGACAGTTTAAAAAGAGAAAAAGACAAGGAAGAAAACAAAGAATGAGGGAGTCTTGACAATACCATCAAACGTGATGGACAACAATTTTTTTAAGAAATCTTCAAGCTATAAATTTTATAAAATTATAAATTAATAAAGTTTAAAATAAAGTTGATAATTTTTATAAAACTAAAAAATTTATTGGTAAAAAATTTATAAGATAACTTAAAAAATATGTTTATTTCAGAAAAGATACTTAAATATTTTAACATTCTTAAAAAATTGTTTAAATAATTCGTGAAAATTAATGAATGTTGTGTTAATTGAATTAAAAACAGTTTTAAAAGGAAAGTGAATTTTAATTGAATTAATTTAATTTTAATCATTGCATAATTATACACGCGGTGAAGCCACAAGTGGCGTGTCATATGAAATGTTAAATTTAATTAATAATTCAAAAAAGCAGAGAAAAAAATCATTGAATATGACAAAGAATTTAGAAACACAGTGTTGCAAGTGCGGTGGTGCAGCAACAAAAAACAATAAACTAATAGGATGTGACTTTATGACTTGTCTGAAGGTCTTTCATGACAATTGTAACGACAATCCGGTGAGAATAGATGGCAATAACAAATTTGTTTGTGACGAACATAGAGCGAGAGTTGAACAAGATCAACAGAAAAATGCGGGAAATTCCGTTCAAGAAGTAGACTTAACGTCAGTTGAACCTCTTAAAAATAGTGAACAGAATCCTAATCTTCAGGAAAAGGCAGTAAATCCTAAATTAAAGGACGACAATGTAACCAGAAGAAGCAAGAAGTTTTTATGCGCTATTTGTAAGGATGAAGAAACAACTTCTTCTACGATCTTGGTGACTTGCATTTCATGCAACAAAACTTTCCACTAAATTTCGTTTAAATGAAAGACAGCTTCCACTCGATACGACTCCTGAAGATACGGTCGAGTCCGAAGCAAGTAGTGATTTTACTCGAAAAAATTTTTCTACACCGAAACCAAAAAATTCAAACAAAAATCAAGATAAACAAAAAAAATGTTCAAACCCAAAAATTCAGAAAATCTATGATAGCTCCTGCGTTAGATGCTACTGTTTCAGGAAATTCTAATGCAAACAATTATGTTAGCCGATACTTTTTGAATTTCTTACAAAAATCCAGTCTTAAAGACCTCCCTATAGTGAAAGAAAGTGTTCTTGCCTGAAATTCCTTTTATTTGGCTTACAATGAGACTAAAGACCATTTTTCAGTTAGTGAAAACTTGCGTCGTGTCCAAGAAGCTTTGCGTAATTCGGAAGTAAAGCAAATTGGAGGTCATTTTTTGTATGATTTAAATAAATTCGAAGAGGCTTTAAAAGAGATCGATAGAAGATTAGCAAAAAAAGTCATCTGCTTTACTTGACAGAGCTACTGAGCTATTAGAGCTAAAGAAATTAAGATACGATGATTATCAGGGTATAATGGTGTTTGAGTATTTTTTCTTCTCATTTCATAATTCATTTTTTTTATATTTTCATTTATATTTTCTTATATTTTTATATTTCAATTATTTTTCATTATATACTTAAACATTCATAATTGCACATTCTGCATAATTGCACAGATACATAATTTAAATGAATCATCAATAGATTCCAACCATACAAAATATTATCATAAGTTCGACAAATCAATCAAAATACGACAGATTCATCACAAATTAGATTAAAAACTAAGCAAATGTAAATGAGACGTGCGATAAAACCAGAAGTTTAGACAACAAGATATAGACTGTAGAGGACCTTTCCCGGCGAAAACCTCGATGCCATCTTCTGCATCGAGAATGTTTTGACAATTTTAAAAAACTATCTCGAACCAAAGTGTCCGCAACTTTTAAAAGACCATTCATGCATAATGCCGTTGAGTAATTAGTCTGTTATAAGCGATTGAAGTTTAAAGACCTTTGATTGCATTAATAATAATAATAGTGCATTTATTTATTGAGTAAACCTTACAGCTATTAGGCCGAAGTCCTACACCAGTGTCAAAAGGTCATTTAAGAACTACGACAAAAAATACATCCACTAACATCGACTAACATGATCAGCTTATTCAGCAAGTTAATTATGTCACATCTACCAACAGCAATTTGACTGCCCATTTACGTGACTATAGAAAATTGATTGAGTCAATAAGTGAAATATCTCAGTCGACAATAGTCTGTAGACTAATTCAGCATTTAATCGATCAAATAATGTTTGTTCCATAGTTACAAACAAAGAAAAAACTGGTGCTAAAACTTCTAGCTGAAGAATTCACCAAACAAACGGGGCGTGCTCTACTGTTCCACGTACATCAATTAGCCGACATAGATAGAGCTGCAGTTTTGGATGCCTATGCGTCACGTCAAATCAACACTGCGATTTAGCAAGCATCATCATATAAAATCAAACGGATGAACAAAATCTACATGTTAAAGCAGAAACCAGAAGTACGTCTCCTGCTAGGACCAACTATCATTTCTGACTTGGATAACATCGACTCCTAAGAAATTACAGAAGTTCCAGATGAAATATATAATTGGAGATTGATATAAGTCCGCCATAACGTTCTCGTGTCTGAAGAAACTAGAAAAGAGTTACTCAAAGCTTTTGAAAAATATGTTAAGTCATTGGAAACTTCTATGTTCTCTGAAGATGACATTCACGAATACACTTCTTTTAATGCCTTTATGATGGTTATGAATATGGATTACAACAAAAATTGAAATATTTGATGACCCCTTTGAAGAGCAAAGTCCTAAATGTAATAAAGTATTTAGAATTACTTGATAATGGTTCTCCATAAAAGAAAACCTGAAGATAAATGATCTAGTATTAATATTAGAAGAACAGAAAATGGTTATTGACAAAGCAACAATAATTGTTCAATAAACGAAAAAGTGAGTGTGGATTCACTCAACTTTGTGCTTTCTACTGACAAAAAGACTTCGGTTAGAAATGTTTATTATTACAGCGATTAAATAATTCACTACAAACAACACTATCTGCTCCACCACAAACAATACTGTTCGCTCTCAACCGGTTCTCTCAGCGTTATTTTTCATTTCTGTAAACTCTCTCTGAAACATTTAAATTGAAACAAAATAAAATTTGTCTTTGTTTTACCGTAAAAGAGTCTAGACGTCTTTTATTTATTCTAACAAAATAAATCTTTAAAATTTATATTTACAGATTTATTACAGGATCCATAACTCAGCCATTCATTCAGTAAAAGCGATTAAAGCAACACTACTTATCGGAAAATTATAAAAAAATAATTTAAAGTCCTTTTGGTCATTTTTTTGACAAGTTTAGGTAATGGGAAGTAATCCTTCATAAATGAATAATAAAGAGGCAGTCTTTTAGTAAACCTTAAGGAAACAAGTTCTTTATTCTTTCTTATTGTGCTCCAATTTTATTTCAATACAATAATAATATAGCCGTGAGTTGACATTCAGCAGAAAAAAATTTCGACTCTTTGATATATCAGTTACGTCATCACTCACATTCTCGACGCTCACGCGGAGTCCGAGCAAAAGAAAAAAATTTCAAAATAAAAAACAACACTTATTACCCCCAGAATCAGAATCAAAAATTCAATAATTTTTCAAGACGATGTTTCAATGAGATCTAAGAGATCATTTTCCGCACCAATGAGTGGAATCTCTTACCGCTATCAACATCTGCATAACGTAGAAAATGAAGAACAAGACGAAGTTTGTAGCGACGAATCCGATGAGATCATAGACCATCTAAATTTTCAGATGGCGGATCTCGAAGATCAAGAGACCTAAATTTCGTACCTTATGTGTCCATCCTTACTTCGAAAAAGCCCCGAGCAAAGCATACAAACAAATATCAGTCTACATTAAAAAGTCGATGAAACCACCAGATTTTGAGCACAAAGCACGGTACTTCCCGAAATTTAATAAAATGAATCTCGGACTTAATAATAAGCGATACCGCTACAACTGAGAACATGACATCCCAGCTCACAAATAACAACTATATCAATTAAGACAGCACCCTTCTAGTATCATCAAATGAGATACATACAGCACTCATTATATTGATTATCCTAAAAATATTAGACCTAATGCTAAAAAGCTTCAACGCTTATAAAAAGAAACTAAAGAAAAATGTTGGAAATGTAGAAAAAGAGCCTTGGCAACAGCTAACAATCAAGCACCATAGGATCCATGAGGACATGCATCAAGCTAGGAAGGGAGGGATTAAATATCCACCACATACACAACAACAATTAGTTCTCTGAGCTCATTATCACCCAGTTATAAAATAAATTGTCTTTGTTTTACTTTCAAACGAATCTGACGTCTTTTATTGTCACTTAAATAAATCTTAAAGTTCATATTTCAGATTTACTTTACACAACACATAACTCAAATACCCAAGTTCTACTTGCTCAAATGGAGGATGAGGAAGATGTTTAAATGATGTTTAAAGCTATTTAAATGAGGAAAAATATTGTGAAAACCTGGTCAATAAAATGCAAGTATTCCTAGGGAATCCAGAAAATTGTGAAAATAAGCAAAAGGAAGATCCCAGCATAGAAGACTACGCGTGAAGAGGATGGACGATATGTTTGCCTGATCTTATGGAAAGATTCATTACCAAAATTAAGCGACAGCCTTGAATAAGCAGTACGCATCTTCTCTAGCGAAGAAGGAAAATGGATTTAGAAACCATTGTTCCACGAAAAATCAAATGAGTTCATGAGAGACTATAGAGAAAGTGGACACATGACGGAGATTACTGATCCAAAGGAACTATTTCGAGAAGGTCCGAACACACATACATTCGTTTACATTACTGTTATCCGAGAAAATGCCTTAACAACAAATAGGAGAAATGTATTCCATGCAAGCTTACCAACATTAAATGGGGTATGTTTGAACGACCTCATACAGGCAGGACCATGCCTATTAAATGATTTGGTGATCGCACAATTGAAGGGAAGAACATTCAAATTCAAAATATCAGCTGATGTCAAGCAAATGTTTCGACAAGTGTTCTTGATTCAAAAAGGTGTATTTTCATTTTATTTCTACAGATTACGCGGTAGAACAATGAATGAACAGAACCAACAAGCACAGCCGAATCACGTCGGTCTGAAACAGGCAAGAATCCAAGCAACCTTAAATGCTGCTAAACTAATGGATTCAATTAAACCAATTCCAGAATATTCAGATGATAAAATTTGCCCACTAAGATGGATAACTTACTTAGACATAGTTCAAGAAGATTTAAACGCTTTATAAAATTAAAATTATAAAATAGCATAAAAATTATTCATCATTAAACTATATGAAAGATATATGTATCTTTATAACCAACAATAGCGTGGTTCACGCTCATTACTCGTTATCAACTCTTGAATTTTAAACAAATCGTTAATCGCGAATTTAAAATTTTTCAAAGGATAGATAAGTATAATTTTAATTTTTGTTAATTTTTTTTAAAGTTAACAATATTAAAAATCTGATTATAACATATTCTAACATATACTATAAAAAACGTGTAAAAATAAAAAACACACATAAATATCTTGTTTATTTATTTTGAGCGTGCACATTCAAAAGAAAAAACATTAAGCATAAATTGCTAGAAAAGGAAAATAAAGTTTCCGCAGATTTTAAAGTATTCACATTGCTCGTGTATTACGACATTGGTCAACATAAATTGTTGATTTTTTTTTGTTTTTCAATTATTGAAAACATTGCATAAAAATTAAGCAATTCCTTGAGCAACAGCCAGCAACGACAAGCAAAGAAGCAACGAAACCAAATAAAACAAAGGAAAAGGATGACGAAGAATGTAATTTTCAGCGATCCCTTAGTGGAGTTCCAGCACAATATCCATTACAAGATATACCTAAAACGATAACAATTAATCAGTACCATTTCGATCTATTATTTGCAACTAATTGGGAGGGGTTTAATCATTTTAATACATTTGTCCCTAATAATTTAAACTATAAACACTATGACAACCTAATAGATAAAGACAAAGAAAAAAGAATCAATAATTGATATAAAAAATTTCGATGGGTGGAAAATACATCCAAATTTATTGGTTTTCTTCTTACGACTTAATCATCCCGAGTAAACTTATTCAAATTATATTATGTTTGAAAATAATCATAACTTTAACACCAATTTGAAAAAATTTCCAACATGCCTAACAAATTTAAGACTTTTAAAGGTTTCTCATTTAAAGCGGGATATTTTTGAAATTTTGTTTGCATGTAAAACTTTGAAAACATTTAAATACAGTTCAATGAGCAAATTAACGTTTCAACAAAAAAAAATAATATTGATGAAAAACACTCATATTGCTTTCGAATACGATCATTCTGATTTTTAATGTATAATTTTCATATTTTCATATTTAATACTACTTTTTACATGTACTTTAAAAACATTTATAATGAAGCAACTTAAAAAAAATACAAACATTCTCGTATTACTGATTCAGCGCATTTTTGATACTTACGTTTCCTCTTCAGCTTTTTAATCATTAATTTATGAGAAAATCATGATCTAGTCATATTTCTTCGTATCTTTAATGAGATTTTCTCATGTTGTTCAAAAAGCTTCAGTGTATTAAGACTTAGCCATTCATAGTGCTCATATCGTTGTTACATTCTGAATTTAAATTGAATGATAAAGTCCTAATTAATATATTGAAAAAATTAGGGTTTTTGAAGTCTTTAAAGGTAACAAGAAAACAACCATTTTAAAGGAGAAATATGAAAATTAATCACTTTTAAAAATGCAAACAACTTAAGACAGAAAATTGTGCATTTGAAATTAGGAACTAAGGTAAACTAAAAAGAGGGGCCTCTTCATATTTCACTGTCGTTAGTCTAAACAGCCCGTTGTTGCAAATGCTTCCATGAAAAAAATATGATTTAATAATGTCAACAAAACAGCATTAAATTTTTAATTTTCAAGAAGGACGTCAGTCACTTGTCACACTGTTGAGCATACAGCATCATTCATCAGACATCCATTAAAATTAACGTGGAAATTTTTTTATCGTTTGTAAAAGTTAATTGTGATCATATCAAGGTAAACCCAAGAAAACTGAGAAATTTTTCAAAAGTATTGTGATATTTCAGTTTTTTTTAAACCAAGCTAAATGAATATTATGAAAATATTTCATTATTTAAAAAGCAAATATTTGCTACAGATTTTTGATTTTTTTTTCAAAAAATCACATTTTTCAACGGTTTCTAAACATTTCTGGTTTATATTTTCATTTATATTTTTTTATATTTTCTATTTTTATATTTCTTATTTTCATTTTTTTACTTCTTATATTTCAATTATTTGTCATTATATACTTAAACGTGCATAAAAGCAGAAATACATAATTTAAATAAATCATCAATAGATGATTGATGTAAATCATAATTTGTAATAGTCTATATAAACCCATCCCATGGGTAAATAAAATTGAGTTTTATTCTGACAAGCATAAAATAAAGTCGTTATTATTTCGTTAAAACTATCAACAAATAATAGTTGGATTATTCCAAATAATTCCAACCAAACATGGATAACTTACTATGTCTACGTAAGAAGATTTAAACGCTTTAAAATATTGAAATTATAAAATTGCTTAAAAATTATTCATCAGAATATGACAAATCAATCAAAATACGACGAATTTATCATGAAAAACTTAAACTATATGAAAGATATATGTATCTTTATAACCAACAATAGAGTGGTTCACGCTCATTACTAGTTATCAACTCTTGAATTTTAAACAGTGTCAGTGTAACGCGTAAATTTCTTTAGCACGGAGATATTCAAGGTAAAGCTCTATGAAGAAGATGAAGTTGGTGTACAACAACCGCGGATAATGCCTAGATTCAGAAGCACAAAATCAATCGGTCCGGGTATTGTTTTAAGTTTATCTATACTTTATTATTTTTTTTACAAGTTTATGAGTCATGGACATACATGAATCATAGTTCACATGAGTCATGAGTCCATGAGTCATGATAACGTAAGATGACACCTTTGGGTGTCATCTTACAGTTATCAATTATAGATTCAGACTATAAATAGCATGTTAGATTTAAGAACAGTGCAGTTTAACTTTAACTTTTATACGATACAGTTATCAATTAACTTTTATAATAAACAGTTCAATAAAAATATTTAAATGTAAAAACCAAGTGATTTAAATACAAAAAACAAGTGGTCCTTCGATAAAGTGAATCTATCTTAAAATTTTGACGGTAAAGTAAATTCTCGCGGCCGGAGGATTTACTGAAGAGCTGTCTACACTTATCCCGGAAAAGATTAGCAAAGTTGCAGACGATTAATTGAAGTATCATCATGGCAGACCAATTTACCAAACAAACAGAATTGATGGATTACCAACAGTCTCTCATCCAAGAATTTGAGGTTCAATTCCTAAAATTAACCTCGGAAAAGAAGGAAAAGAAGGGCAAGATAGAAGTGTTGAGACACTATGAGAGAAATCGGCGAGAATCCTGGAATTGCATCGTTAAGAACCATAGGAAACTAACAAAATATCCTGACTTACCAGATGTTTACACGGATTCTTTTAATTCATTGATACAGACTAATGAGGACTTCAAAAATCGGTTAATGGCATATGCTAGGGAAAACTCGCTAAGTTTGGAAGTTATTGAAGATAAAAATCTTGATACCTCGGATGAAGAAGAGAGTGAAGAAATTGAGGACGAAAAATCGATCCACATTTATACACCCTCGACATCTGACGGAAAATCAAAACATACTTCCAAGAAAGGTGAACTCATTTCACCATCCGATCATAAGGGGGAAGATGTGTCACGTCCGGATAATATAAGTGAACAGAAAAGCCCACCAAAAAAGACTGGACTCAACCAGCAGCAAACCTATGTTCCAGAAAATTCTGAGGACTTTAAGCGAAATCAAAATGTTCCGGCAACTTCCGGAAACTTTCTGCAGAATCAAAATAATGCGCGTTTTACAATCCATGATTCATCAAGTGAATCAAGCTTAAATCAATCATATGTTCCAGTCAATACTGGCGACTTCAATCAAGCAGCAAATAATAGGCTACATAACAATCAAAGCACCAATCAAGGAATCTCAAATCAACAGATTCCAGTGGATCCTGGTACCTTTAATCAACCAACTCATGGTAACCAAGCCACTAATGTTCAGACATCAGATGGACCAAGTTCATCCAACAGTCCACCAAATCAAGAAGCTGGAATTGGAAGTGCAATGAGTGCGATTGTGCAACTTGTCAGCAAACAATTCGAATTAATCCAAAACCAGCAAGAGACTCAAGTCAATACAAGCACTTTGATACAGGAGCAATTTCAGGCCTTTCAAAACCAAATCGCAAAAAATAATGCCGAAAAAAGCTCACTAAAACCGCAACAACTTGAAATTCCGACGTTCAAGGGAGATATCTTGGAATACAAATCCTTCAAAGAAATTTTTCAAAAGGCCATCTCCAAGGTCAAATGGAGCGACCTAGAAAAATTATTATTGCTTCAAAGCAAGTTAAGTGGCAGAGCTCTGGAGAGAGTCAAGCATTTAGCCACTGAAGAGCAAAATTACAGCGTGATGTGGAGCATTTTGGACAAAGAGTTCCTGATAACCAGAGCTTTAGTACAACATAACGTGTCCAAGCTCCTGCAAATTCAACCTGTGAAAGCAAATGACGTGCAAGCAATGAGACAATTTTACTCTACATTGAATACTGTTGTCACAAATTTAACACAACTAACCGATGTACAACCAGCTGAATGGCTGTTTGAAATTGGATACATGCAGGTAGAAAGTCAGATAAAACGGCGTTATGAAGATTTTTTAAGAGCTAAAGAATTGAGAGCAAACGTTGAGACGATAACAGAATTTCTAATGGCCGAGTGCAATCTCGCAGAGGGACAAAGTGGCATAAAAACTGCAGTCACTCATAAAATTAAAGATAATTCATATGACAACAGCAACAACAATAAAAATAAACAAAACAAATCAACGCGTGCTCATGTTACAGTGAACAATGAGAATACCGTGCCTCCAAATAACATTGACCCAGAGAAAAAATGCTTTATATGCAAAATGAGTCACTTGGTCAACATGTGTCCGACTTTAATGGCGAATGAAAATCGGGAGAAATTACTACGTCATTATAAGATCTGCATTTATTGTTTGAAGCATAAATTCAACTTTAGAAATCCATGTCGATCAAAAGATACAGTGAAATGTGAGAAATGCAATTTAAATCATCATACTGTTTTGCATCCAATCAACAATAATGCGTCAAATACATTTGTTACCAACCACCAGGAATGCCAAGAATTCAGTCACATAGCTCAACAAGCAGAGACACATGGATTCGTCACAAAAAATGGAGATACTTGCACCATTTTGCCGACGGCAATCGCTAATATTTTGGATAAAAATGGAATGTCTATTCCAATTGCCTGTCTTATTGACAATTGTGCAGAAAGAACTTACGTATCTGAGGATATAGTGCAAAAATTAGGACTTCGCAAGTATAAGACAAATATTATCATCAAAGGAATTAATGACATTCTTGACACAGCGAAATCGTACGTTAATTTAAGCATAAAATTGGACGATCCAAAAATTGGAGTCATTACCACCCAAGCTTTGGTTGTAACCAAAATTGCAAGCAATATTCCAACACTGGAAATTGATATGAATATGTTTGGCGATAAGAAAATGGCAAATCCTCTTTTGGGCAAATCATGCTCAGTTGGAATTCTGATGGGCAGTGATGTCTTGCCACAAATTTTTAAGGCCGGAGGGGGTACGGAAATCACAAAAAGCGGCTTACTTTTACAAGATACGCATTTAGGATGGATTGTAAGCGGGAAAAATTCTCGACCTCAAAAAATTGTAAGCTCATTTGTAACCTACAACGAATCAGCCTTAAAATGCTTAAGTGATGACAAAATTAATGAGAGAATATTGAAATTTTTTGAAGTCCCAGAAGAAATTGAGGAGTGTGACGATGATGAGGC